GCTCCTGTAATGCCTGTTGTGCTGTGTGATCATCCTTTGAGATCAACTTTAAGGTGCCACCTGGTTCCTTTTTTATTATGCCTGCTACTGATTTTATAGAACCAGTCTCCAAAGACTATAAATCCACTGCAGGCCTGAGTACTCATCAAAACCATTGCAAAACTTTCTGTACCGGCTGGTTTTTGACAGCCAGGCTGGTTAATGTGCAGTTGCTTTTGGATTCATTCATCATATTTTGTTGATTTCTGCTCTGTGGTTTTAATTTATTGTTAGTACTTGTGAGCCTTTGGGGTGACTTGGTTGCAAAGGGTTACATAAAATAGATGGTTTTCATTTACCGAAGGCCAGCAGAGGGCACTGATGTCTTGTACATGTTGGTTCCAGTAAAGGTTCCAGCTTAGAGCAGGAAAAACCAGGACACACAGAGAGAAACTCTCTTGTTTGGTGTAGTGGTTAAGAGCTGCAGAATCTAATCTGGAGAACCGGGTTTGATTCCCCACTCCTCCACATGAAGCCAGCTGGGTGACCTTGGGTCAGTCACAGTTCTCTTAGAGCTCTCTCAGCCCCAGCTACCTCACAGGGTGTCTATTGTGGGGAGAGGAAGGGAAGATGATTGTAAGCCGCTCCAAGACTCCTTTGGGTCCTGAAGGGTGGGGTACAAAATCTCCTCTTCTCCTTTTCCTCCTCCTCAAATTCAAAGCAACTGAATGAGGACTGAGCGTGCTGTAGAAGGCACGGGCTGTTGAGAGCAGTTGAGAGTCAGGTAAAGGGAAAAATAAGTGGCGGGGATAAGGAAATTCACCTGTTCTATCTGTTCAGTGGTCATAGAATGGGGAACTGGGGGGGATGTGAGCATGTGTACAGGTGAAGAGGAGGGGAATGTCCATACACTCTGCAATTACCCATGGTTCTCTGGCTGGTTCCTGGGTTTGCCAGGTTCCCCCGGCCACTGGCAAGGGGTGGTGGTGGGTAGAGTTGCCACATCCAGGTTGGGAAATCCTCGGAGATGGAGACTGGAACACCCGCGGGGGGTACAATGCCATGCAGCCCATCCTACAAAGCATCCCTTTTCTCCAGGGGAGCTGATCTCTGTAGTCCGGAGATGAGCTGTAATTCTGTGGGATCCCCAGGTCCCACCTGGAGGCTGGCATCCCTACTGATTCCCTCCATTCCACTGTTGCTGGTTTATCGTGTAGTTGACAACCTCCAGGTGGGCCCTGGAGAGCTCCCGGAATGCCAGCTGATCTCCAGACGGCAGAGGTCAGTTTCCCTGGAGGACATGGCTGCTTTGGAAGGGGGACACTATGTAGGACGGCTCGGCCTCCCATGAGGGTTGGAGGGACTCCTGCAGTAGCCTTTTTGAGCAGCCGCAAAAGATTTAAAAAAACCCCAAAACTCTCCCAGCATCCTCTGTGCCGGTACTTCAGTTCTGGCACTTCACTTCCAAGTGACAATGGGTGGCTCTAGGAATGCCCAGAAACTCCGTATTTGTACTCAGAAGCGACACAGTGATACCAGTGACGTTGCTGGCATCACATGGCCCCCACCCCTCCCGCCTATTGTCAGGCTCACCCTGGCCTCCCTAAGTCTATGGCATTACACCCTGCTGAGGCCCGCCCCCCCCCCAACTCTGCTCTCCCCCCAGAATCTCCAGGAATTTCCTGACCTAGTGTCGGCAGCCCCAGTTTATCAGCAGGCCAGCAAAATGAGGACACCCTCGGAAAATGGGGGATTAGTGCATACTCACTATGAGGATTTTCCACATTTTCCAAAAAACGGGTGCTTATGCAAAAGGAAAAGGACAGCTCCCGGAGAAGCCACACAAAGGAGGAATGAGCAAGCTTGTTGCCTTCAAAATGTTGAGAAGAGCTGAGAATCAGTTGAAGTATGTGGGGTGGGGGGTTCAGAGAGAGATGGGAAAGTGGCCTCTCAGGGTCCCGGGCCCCCCCCCCCCGGCCACCTGCAGGGTGTGTGTACGGTTGTCAGCTATGGGTCGGGAAACACCTGGGGATTTGGGGGATGGGGCCTGGGGAGGACAGGGAGCTCAGTGGGGTACAATCCATACAGTCCACCCTCCAAAGCATCCATTTCCTCCAGAGTAACTGACCTCTGTATTTTGGAGATGAGCTGTAATTCTTGGGGATCCCCAGGTCCCACCTGTAGGCTGCCATCCCTATATCCCTGTGAGGTTATAGAATCCTGGATGTGCAAATTTAGATGGGGTTCCCCCCCCTCCAGTTGTTTCTCTTCCCCTGTGATACTTCACAAGCCCCAGCATCTTTCTTCCAGTAGCAAACTTGTTAGCTGAAAGCCTATCAGGAAGGCAGATCCACAAATCTATACTGTTTTATAATCTTTGCTTTGGCAAACTTAGATTAACCAGACTTTACCTTCCCCTAACGATGCCTCTGAGCATTGTTATAAGTTCCTGAGGGAAACCTTTAGACTGTCAGTGTTTTAGTGAGAGGAGAGCCATGGTTACTCACATTAACAGCTTGTGTACAAATGCGCAAGTTGAGCAGATGGAAAGCAAGCAGGCAACCAGACAACACTAGTTCCAGATCCACTGCCTGGCAAAGGACACGAAAGGGGACCTAATTATGTTCTATTTGCTTTATGTTACTTTGAGCTAAAGAATGTGTGTGTCAGAAGGAGGGAAGAACCAACCTGGAGACAGGTGGAATCCAGCTCCTCTGTATTTCAGAATCCATCTTGCATTGAAGATATGTCGGCTAGCACATCTTCAAACATTTTCACCACTTAATGTCAAAATAGAAGATGACTTCTGTGGAATCAGAGAAAGAATCTACCTATGCTGCAAGCCTACAACCACTTTCCGGGGAATAAGCCCCATAGAATAATTGGACTTACTTCTGAGTAGACCATCTTGGGATTGTCGCCCTGGTCTACCAGTTTGTTTCCAACAGTGATCAGCCAGATACGGCCAGGAAGGCCACATGTAGGAATGGGGGGGAAAAACACACACCCAACATTGTTTCCTGACAGCAATCATATTCAGAGGTAGATCTCCTCCGATCATGAACGTTCTATTAAGCCAACAAGGACAGTAGCTGTCGACAGACCAATCCTCTAGTGATTTGTCTACTACCACTTGGACTAAATCAGTGACTGACACCACATCTTGTGGTAATGAATTTTGTATTTGAAATATCTCTGCCCCTACCTTTAAACGGGCAGGTCCCGGTGAGCCCAATCTTGTTAGATCTTAAAAACTAAGCAGGCTCAGACCTGATTACTTGCTTGGACGGGAGATCACCAAGGAATACCAGGGTTGCTATGCAGAAGCAGGCAATTGCAAACCACCTGGGTTCGTCTCTTGCCTTGGAAACCCTGCGGGGTTTGCCATAAGTCGGCTGCGAGTTGATGGCACTTTCCTCCACCACCACCCTTTCAACAGAACAGTCTCCAAGGCGGACAGTTAGAAAACACAGTCCGATTTTGAAATAGGCTTTGTTTTTAATTTGTTTGAGAAGTACAATAAGCAAAAGCAAACAAACCCTGGAACAATAAAGCAGCAGCAGAGTTAGATTAAAACAGCTGGAAATGAAACAATTTCAAATTACTCCTCGCCCAAAATTCATGTAAACGAATGGAGATTTTAATATTTCCAGGGTCGCGTCGGGAGGCTCCTGGACTCCAGATGACGTGGCAAAGACTACAAAAGTGAGCTGTGCATGTGTGCAGCTCAGACCACGGCCATGCATGAGGGGAGGGAGGCCACAGAACCTTTCCCAACAGGGCTCTCCCTGCTGCAGTTAGCATTTTAAGGGGGGGGGGAAGGAACACATCCTTTAAAACTCCAATAAGTTTTCTCCTTTAAAATGCTAATCGCAGCACAGGGAGCTCGGTTTTGATTTGAGATCCTGAAGGTTCAAATAAATCCCCTCTCTCCCTCTTTTCTGGGGCAGCCCCAATCTGAGTCCATGGCTGTGTAGAAGACACCACTGACCCTTTTTTTACTGAGACTGATGAAGATCTGTGAGGCTTCCTCATATCTGTTTGTGCATTGTATCGGATCCACCTAGGTGGTGGGTGAGTGGGGTTGCTAGCTCTGCATTGGGAAATACCTGGAGTCTGGAGATCTTGGGGGTGGAACTTGTGGAGGGGCGGGGTTTGGGGAGGGGAGGGGCTTCCGTGGGGTATAATGCCATAGAGTCCACCTTCAAAAGTGGCCATTTTCTGGAGGTTGGCAACCAGCCCATGTGCTCATAGACCACAGAAAGGAATCATTTCTACACCCAAATCTCCCCAAAATTTCCCATATGGAGTCAGCAACTCCAGTGCCATGTTCTATAATAACAGAAGGCGAAGGACAGTCTGGCAGGAGGCACTGCGTTCCTGGCCCCTGAGGTGAAGGTCAGAATAATTGTTAATGCCATCTGGGAGGTGAGCAGCTTCAGCCACAGGGGATCCAGGATGCTTTTCAGCAGAGCCATCCCTCTGCTCGAATGGCCTGACATCAAGTGAAAAGTAATCCAGAGATAAGACATGGCAAGGATTGGGTTAATGGGGCAGGGCAGACAGCAAGGAAAATGCGTGCCTTGATGTCCAAGCAGCAGCCTCGGACAAATCGCTAAAGTGCACGTGGGGCAATGCATAGAGTTGCCAACCTCCAGGTGAGGCATGGAGATCTCCTGGAGTTACAACTGATCTCCAGACTACAGTTCCTCAGGAGGAAAGAGAGGCTTTGAAGGCTGGGCTCTATGGCATTATACATCACAGAGGTCCCTTCCCAAGCCCCACTCTCGCCAGGCTCCCTCCCCAAATCTCCAGGAATTTCCTAACATGGAGTTGGGAACCACAGCAATGTGCAGAGCAAAAACAGGACTGGGTATCTTGGCCCCATCCCTGCCTAGGATCAAACTTGCTGGCACCATTCCCATCTGCAATGTGTACACACTGAGGCTCCTTCCCCCGATTGGAGCTACTAGAAAAACGCAGGCTTGATGCCCACATCCTGGCAAATGAGCACGGGTGGTGGCTGGTGTGTGTGTGTGGAGAACATCTGATCCTGTTCCCCTTCTGTGCAGGTTCCCCATATGTACTCATGTCGTGTGGACGGTGCTACAGTCTCTCCTTTTCAGTGTTAAAATTAAGAAGTAGGCGCAGCGGTTTCGGCAGATGGCAGCATCCAGTTTTCATATTGGAACTTCTCAGCAGGTGTATAATAGGCGGGTAGAGCCATGACTCTGTTGCGTGAGATGATCTCAGTGTGATACGACAAACATCCCCAAAGTGACCACTAGACTGCTCAGCTGTCCCCAGGAAGGCGCTGCGTAGGACCTGATGGTCGGCACAGGAACCTTCTTCAGGTCTAAGCGACAGGAATGCATGATCTTCCCGGGGGGAATCTCCTTTTCACTCGCCCTCTCTGATGATCTTTTGTGCCGCATCTAGAATTCACAGTCAGTGCAAAGCATAAAGACCTTTGTATCACTATGAATGCAGGAAACTGCCGCATATGGAGTTGAACCGATTGTCTGTCTGTCTGTCTGTCTGTCTTCTTCTTCACCATCATCACCATCACCATCACCATCACCATCACCATCACCATCATCTGACATATTCCGCCCTCCCCGCAAGTGGGCTCAGGGCAGATCACAACAACAATTTTTCAGTCATTAAACACAGCCATAATAATTAATTAGTTAAAACAATTAAATAAAAAGCACGTCATTTTTAACAGGTAGCACTAGAAATACAGAAACGTAATAGTCTCAAATGACTGGAACAGCTCGGCTGTAGCCCAGAGACTGTGGATCTTCTTAGCTTGGGCCGTATAAAGTTGGGGAGCTTCAGCAAGGGAGGCTGAATAGTTGGGCGCCTGTCGCCTCACCCAAAGGCCTGGTGGGACAGCCCTGTTTTACAGGCCCTGAGGAACTGTAGTAAGTCCTGCAGGGACCTGATCTCAGGTGGGAGTGCGTTCCACCAGGCTGGGGCTAGGGTGGAAAAAGCCCTGGTCCTCCTGATTAGTCCATCTAGTTCAGCCCTCTCTGTCCCTCCCTTTGATCCCCAACATTGCACCAACTAGGGTTGCCAAGTGGAACTTACCTTGGCGGCGCGGGACTCCTGGGTGGATCCCGGAGCGTGCGTGTGCGTGCGAAGTGCACGTACGCCGCACACATGTCACCAGGAAGTGATGTTATGACGCTGGGCATGCTGGGGGCAGGGCCACAACCATACAAGGGAAAACAATAGAGTTTTCCCTTGTATGGCCGTGGCCCCACCCCCAGCGTGCCCGGCGTGCCCGTGTCACTTCCAGATGACGCGCACATCGGGGAGGAGTACCCCCCGGGGCCCGATCCGGTGCCGCCGGGGAACGGGCCTCTGGGGCGGGGGTTTCCCCACCCCCCGGGGGGACTTGGGATTCCTAGCACCCACTGATATGTTTCCTTGAGCCCATTTGCTTCTTCCCCAAAGCTTCTTCCCCCCAAAGCAGAGTTTTTCCTTTCCTTCACTGGAGCAGGAGGTGCATCAGAAGATCACAGGAGGCATCACCATTGCGTTAGCAGGGGACAACTTTTAGGAAACAGATGTCTCCATGATAGGAGAATGCTCAGCTTCTGCCTGGCCCTGGCTCCCGTGGCAGCCATTTTGTGGTGCACCCAGGGCTTTGTTTTCTGGGGGAATGCACCAGAATGGAATTCCAGAACCTCTTTGACAAAATTCTTTTTAAAAAATGTTTAAAAGTTCATGAGTTTTCAATATACAGATTGAAAACTTCATTTCCTTCTTGAGAGTTCCGGCACCTCTTTTTTTAAAAAAGCCCTGGGTGCACCCATCCCCCGTTCTCAGAATTCCCAAAGCACTCACAGGTTTGATGGAAACTGGGGGACCCCTGATCTAGCTCATCCATCTAGATGGATTGTCCAGTGCTGTGAAACCAAAGTCCTGCAGCACCTTGGAGACGAACCACGTTTATTTCAACATGAACTTTTGAGAGTCACAACTCAGTTCTGGTGTTGCCTCACTCAGCTGCTGGGGATTGCTCTCTAACATCTCCAACATGAACACAGGGCAATGACATGGACAGGATCATGGGGAGGAAATCTTCCCCAGACCGGCTTCCTGAGATCTGGAGACTGAACCTGAGACCCACCTGAGATACAATCCCTGGAGCAGTAGTCAGCTCAAGGACAGGGGTGACCTGCCAACAAAAGTCCGCATGGTCAAAGCAATGGTATTCCCAGTAGTCATGTATGGCTGCGAGAGTTGGACTATAAGGAAGGCCGAGCGCCGAAGAATAGATTCTTTTGAACTATGGTGCTGGAGAAGACTCATGAGAGTCCCTTGGACTGCAAGAAGATAAAATCAGTCAATCCTAAAAGAAATCAACCCTGACTGTTCCCTGGAAGGCCAGATAATGAAACTGAAGCTCAAATACTTTGGCCACCAAATGAGAAGGGAGCAATCACTGGAGAAGACCCTGATGCTGGGAAAGATTGAAGGTCAAAGAAGACGGGGACGGCAAAGGATGAGATGGTTAGACAGTGTCATCGATGCAACGAACATGAAATTGAGCAAACTTCAGAGGACAGCGGAAGCCAGGAGGGCCTGGCGGGATCTGGTCCATGGGGTTGCGAAGAGTCGGACTCAACTGTGCGACTGAACAACAATTATTATAACAGTCTTCATCTATGACTGGAGAGTCAATAGCTATTAGTGAAGAAAGCCAGAAATATTTTGAGGTTGTATATTTTTTGATTATCAATCACTAGGTACAAACAGCAGGAGGCGGCAAACTTTAGCATGCCCTATGACATTCCAAGGGACCTCTGCCTGATGGGGCTGCTGAAATAGCAATGGGAAATGTCTGTTCTTATTCCTCAACGAGGACTTAGTGGATAACTCTTCAAGCCTTAGATGAACTCTGCTATTCCTGAGAAAAATACCTGAAATGTAACATGGGCTAAAAGGGAGAAAATAAACAAGCCCCAAACCTTACATTTTCTACCGCTCTGAAAACACGCAGAATGTTGTCTCTCAGAACACCACGCACTTCCGAATCGGTCCAGCGTCTCCTCAGCAGTTCCTCAATCAAAGCTGGGTATTTTGAAACATCTTCCAGCCCCTCTGGGAAGCTGGAAACAAAGACATTGTGCAATAACTTGACATGAAACATGGCCTGTCAGGCAAAACACAGACAGAGAAAGGATTTAACACAAAGAATCCTCCCAGGGGTCAATTGACTGTGAAACCTCACAACGGGGAGGTTTGAAACTTCCTTGTACTAAATAAAATTCAATACTTCAGCTCAGAGGCCTTGCTGACATCTCATCATTTCTGACTTCCCGCACTGTTTCAGTGTACCTTGTTATGTTGACAGAAAGGAAGAAGCAACAAAAGTGTGAGAAGTCTAAAGTCGTTTATAGATTTTAGTCACAGACAGGTTCAGAAAGCTTTTCTTGGCAGAACATGGACATTTAACCAAATAACAAGCCGGGGGGTTTCCCTGTACAGAAAGTCTCCGTGTTCTGGGAATGGAACAACCCATTAGACTCAACACTCTGCTGCCGCCAAAAATGGCATCCCTGAGTCAAATACTCCCCTCTGCCCCATAGCATATATATTCAGTTTTTGGTGTCATCTCATCATGACTTTTTGTGCTCCCTAATATACACATCATTTGTTGTCAATGGCAAATGCTGGGTGGCACACAATATGATGATAGCAAGAGTGAGAGCTGATTAATCCTACAGTTTTCAGGAGAGGACCTGACTTTTTCAGCAGTAGCCCTGCATGGCGCATAATGTATTGCTCTGCGAACTCTCATCATCATCATCATCATCATCATCATCATCATCATCAATAACAACAACAACAACAACAACAACAGTTTACTAACTTCTTTGCTCCTTCATAGTCACCGCCAATTCCTATTGATTTGAAACCTGCAATTTTCTTTATGTGGTCAAAGTGATCTAGGAATATATTTTGAAAAGATGGCAAAGCATCAATACACCATAAGGAAAAATTAGGTAATGGCACTTAGAAAGACTGACATATCCGTAACCAGTTCTTTGTTGATTAAAAACAGCAATGCTGTACATTTTCATTTACTTATTTTACTTATGATCACACATGCTGTTTATATAGATACTTTATACCCAGATTTTCTCCCCATTGGGAGCCCAAAGTGGCTTGCAATGTTGGTCTCCCCTCCTGTGTTTTATCCTCACAACAATCCTGTGAAGGAGGTTAGGCTAGGCGAGAGTGACTGGCCCAAAGCTGCCCATGGCAAAGTGGGGATTTGACTGCGAACCAAAGGGCTAAGCTAACAATGTATATTATAAAAGTACAAATATTTATTAGGGTGTACACATGTTAAAACATATACTGATAAAAATCTTTATCTAAGTATCAGACTTATAAAATCTTATCAAATATTAATACATGTGATGGGTAAACACTTTCCTACTGAAGACCAAATGCGTTTCGGCCCCTAAGGGCCTTCCTCAGTGGTCACAATTATCAATATAGTACAGACACACATTCATAGACCTGTATACAGGTTCTTTAGTCCTCATATATTAAAACCAGATGTTGTTTCCTTGTATATTCCACCAATTATTCTGGTAACAGAGATTTCATAGGTCTGAATGTGTGTCCCTCCATCAAGGTAAAGATTCTGTGATAATTGTGACCACTGAGGAAGGCCCTTAGGGGCCGAAACAAGTTTGGTCTTCAGTAGGAAAAGTGTTTACCCATCATATGTATTAATATTTGATAAAATTTTATAAGTCTGATACTTAGATAAAGATTTTTATCAGTATATGTTTTAACATGTGTACACCCTAATAAATATGTGTACTTTTATAATATACATTGTTAGCTTAGCCCTTTGGTTCGCAGTCTTATCTTGGGTTGAGTTTCTCCCCCCCCCCCTTTTTCCCAGTTAAAGTGGGGATTTGAACCTGGGTCTACCAGATTATAGTCTGATGCTCTAACCGCTATAAATTACCAGTAACATGCTCCTTCTTAAAAAGGAGACCAGGGAAGAAGTGTCCTCTCAATCTAGCTCCATGCCATAAAGCAAAAAGATCTCTGAGTACTTCTAGCCTTCAAGCAGGTCACGCTGGGTTCCCAGGTGGTCTCCCATCCAATTAAAAGAGCCAAGCCTTCGTCATAGACTTTCTCAGTTTGCTACTCTGAAAATAAACCTTTAATAGTGCAAGTTATCTGTGTTGATGCCATACATTTTCAAAGCCATTTTCTGGACCAATAATACTTCATGTTTATATATACACTCTGTATCACACAGTGGCCAGAAATACCAGTGCCATCAGGAGGTCCACCAGTGGGGCCAGGACATTAGAAGCCCTCCCACTGTTGACCCCCCCAAGCACCAAGAAGACAGAGCATCACTTGCCCCAGAGTCCCTATCTATACCTTGTGGCTAATAGCCACATCCCTCAATCACCTCAGTAATGTTGAGTAAAATTTCAGTCCAGTAACATTGAGCAAAATTTGAGATGTTAAAATCTGACAAGATTTTCAGGATATAAGCTTTGGAGACTCAAAGTTCCCTTCACCAGATATTGACAATGGGAGATTTCACTCTTGAAAGCTTATACGCTGAAAATGCTGTTGGGCTTTCAAGTGCTACTGGACTCAAATTCTCCTCAGTAACGTTTTATCTTGGAGTGAGTTCTTGCATCCCCAGCCATTCATCATTACCATGCAGGTTTCTCTGCCTTACGCCATCAGCTGGTGACAGCGAGCGAAGTTTGGTTTGGGATACTGCTGTGTCACATGGTGAGTGGTAAGCTTAATGGTTGTTCTGTCTCACAGACTACAGAAACAACGTATTTTCACAAGGTCACATTTTGCAGTGTTCCCACATACCGCAATGGCCAACAGCAAAACATTTGGGGAGGACAAAGCAGCCAAAATATTGCAATTGGTTCAATGAACAAAAACGTTTGATTCGATTTTAGGCCACTTCCCCCAGAGTGCCGGTTTAATTAATAATCCTTGTCTGGCATCATGACTGGATCAGTGCCGTGTTTCACAGATGCTCAGCCCCGCAGAACAGGGCCAGCTGGGGGACGCGGCAGGCCGCCAGAGCGAAGCAAGCCACAGCTGAAAATGAAAAATGAAAATGTTTATATCTGATGAAGTGAGCGCTGACTCATGAAAATTTATGCCAGAATACATTATGTTAGCATTTAAGGTTTCATGGGGCTTCTGTTTTGTTCTACTGCTACAGGTGACCAATGGCCAACTATGGCTGCCAATGTAACCCACTATGGTGGGTATTCTCCCACCACTGAATCCCGGTCCCTGTTGCTGCTTGAACGTGGGGGGGGGGGAGTGGGGGGGGACACACCGTTGACATCCATTGCAGCTAAAACATGGAAGTGACCTTACTGACTTCCTAGGATTTCACCGTTCTCTGCAGAAGCCTAAAGCAATAGTGGTTTACTTATTTTATTTAAAACATTTTGACGACATCTTTCTACCTGATCAGGGTCTCCAAGGTGGCACGCATCAAAATATTAAAACGTCTGAACAATTCAGAACATCATTTAAGATTACAAGATAATTCAATAAAAACACATCAACAAATAACACCAGAACCAGAGAGGAGAGCCAGTAACCGTTATCAGGGGGATGCCCAGTGGAACAAAGCAGTCTTCATCTGCTGGCTTAAGACTCCAATAGAGACAGATGAATCTCCATGGGGAGGGAAGTCGAAAGTTTTGGTGCCACGATCGAGAAAGCCCTTTCTCAGGCTGCCACCCGTCTAGCATCAGTTGGTGGGGGCAACCAAAACAGGGTCACTGGAGTGAGTACGTAGGTTGATATGGGAGAAGGCGGTCCTTAAGGTATGTTGGTCCCAGGCTGTACAGGGCTTTAAAACCTCGAATTGAGCTTGGAAGCAAATTGGAAGCCAGTGTAGACAAAACAAAACTAAAGTGATATGGTTCTTATGACCCACTTCAGTCAGTACTCTGGGCTGCTAAGCATTCTGTACCAACTGCAACTTCCGGCTGATGTCACTTCTAGGTTTTAGCTGGAAATTATGTCGATGCATCATCTGTTCCCTGCCTCCAGCGTCTCCTAGGGGTTCTAGGCTTGCGCCTGGCAACCCTAATGCAACCTACCTGAAGTTATCACAGCTGAAAATGCAACTCTAGCAACCAGCTGATAACAATTACATTGCTCACAGTATTCAAAGCCCTGACCTGGATAGCCTAGCTAGACCAATCTCATCAGACCTTGGAAGCTAAGCAGGGTCAACCTTGGCTAATACTTGGATGGGAGACCTCCTAGGAATACCAGGGTCAACAGTACTCAAAAGACAGAACGTGTTATTAGTGCTGCTGATAAGATCAAGAATCCTATGAAATGTTACCAAAGCAGACACAGATAATGGCTTTCTTGCTTTCTTCCCAAACAATTAGAGAGATGTACAGAAAGGGACAGTTCAGCATCTACAGACCTGCGACTGAGGAAATGCTCACAGTTTGGTCACCACAGGCCAGCATTGTAGTTGAGAGCGACACCATGATAATCCCTTTATTCTTTTTCTTAAAAAAAAAAAAAGAATAGGAATTTTTCAGCATCCCCTGAAAACAAATCAGCAGTAGCTACAACAATAAGAATAGATGGTGAAATTCCAGATGGCGAGGTTCCAGATGTAGCAGTCGGCATTGACCAAAGACAATGTAAGGTATATTTAGGCCCCTGAAAACAAATGTGTGGGTGGATAGAGCCAGGAAGTCTTCCACTGAGAAGAACCATTACCTTAAGGAGGAGATAGCCTATCATTTTGTTTGTTTGGAGGCATGAAATAGTGCCGATGTCATCTCTCATCTTCTTTTTCTTTTTTAAAAGAGCAAACAGTGATAAACAGGAAATCGTAGGCTGGATATTCCAGACCTGTAGCCTGAAAACATTTAAGGGGGGGGGATGACTACAGTGTTGGTGAACACATCGTAACTAATTAATTAATTAATTTTACTATGAATGAGCTATAAGGTTTAGGAGTGGAGGGAGCTTCCCCAAATTATCTAGGGATACATTTCTCCAAGATCTGTATTACAACCTCAGTTATTTTCCGTGTTCCTTGTACAAATTTGCCCCACTAAGAATTTTGGCAACATAATGCAGAGCTAAAGAAAATGATCTCGTGTTTTCTATACAGAGCATCCTGGTTTTCCCCTTTGCACTTCGTTATTGCATTGAATTCCTGAAGCTAATTGGCAAGCATCAATTTATGGAACAAGTTAAAGGTCAAGTGTAATTGCAAGAGTTAATGATATTTTTAGACTTGGGAGAAAGAAACGCCCTTTTTTTTGGCTGGAAAAGACAGCAGGTACTGGAGATCCCTTTTACAAAGTGAAGCGTTAGCTTGGAGCGCCAAACTCAGAATCTGCACAGGCTCGCTCTTTTCTAAACTGCCCTCCTGGCTTCAGGACTGGCTGCAAACTCTCCTTCGCTAAAATTTCGAACTTTGTGACAAGACTCCCTTACGTAAACAGAACTCTTATTTGACAGCCGCCACCGGAGCAAGTTTCCCCCGGAGGCCACACATTTCCCAAGCAAGCTTGTTCCTCTGTCAACTGGGCAAACAGCTAACCATCCCCACCTCTGTTGCAAAAAGCGGCTGGCCCGGCCTCCAGACCAGATCACTTTTGCCAGTGTAAAGTAAAGGTAAAGGTTCCCTTGCTCGAAAGCCAGTCGAATCCGACTCTAGGGTTGCGGTGCTCATCTCCGTTTCAAAGCCGAAGAGCCAGCGCTGTCCGAAGACGTTTCCGTGGTCATGTGGCCAGCATGAATAAACACCAAGGCGCACGGAACGCTGTTACCTTCCCACCGAAGTGGTACCTATTTATCTACTTGCAATTTCTTGCTTTCAAACTGCTAGGTTGGCAGGAGCTGGAACTAGAGACAGGAGCTCAAAAGAGCGGGATTCCCCAGCCAGATCGATGCAACAAACCCCAGCCCACAAACTGCCAAACAGACTGGCTGGGCTGCAGCTGAGCCTGCCCAAGAGAAAAGAAAGCCGCTATGTGCAAACACAAACTCAGAGTGCCTCCACTGATCCCGGATGGTTCTACTTTCAGGCCCGGGAGGAAACAAAAAGAGAGTGAGAAACCCAGGTGACGAGCGCCATGGAAAGGAGTTGACAGCCAAGCCGGCTGAGTGGGAGGGCTGGGCCACCCTGGGAGAACCAGTGGGGGGCAGGGCTCATCCGAGGTGGGGCGTCACCCTTGTCAGCTCCCCATGGCTATGGGCCTGGGTGGAGATTGGGAGGGAACCCAATGAGGTGTAATCAGGAGTCATTTCGTAGAAAAAGAGGTGCATGAGCTCATTAGCATAACTCATTAGCATAACTTATTTCCATATGCCACACCCCCTGACATAACCGGGAGTGTGTCAGAAGGCAACATCCACTGCTCAGGCTCCACTGGACTGTTTTGAATCGCTAGCTATTGGGGGGTGCAGACCTGCCCTGGCAGAGGAGGGAGAGCTTGTACCTGAATAAAACTTGGTCTTAAAGGTGCCACTGGACTCTCTTGGACTGGGGGGCCAGCGGGGGGCTCTGCAACTTACCTGGCTGCTTCTTGCTCTGACTGAGGGCTGCTGGGAGCAGGGGGTGGGGCTTGTTGCATGTGCCCACCCCCTGGGCTCTTTACTGCCGGAGCCCCGCTCCTGTGCGCTCCTGCAGGAAATGACCCCTGGGTGTAATGCCATGCAATTCACCCTCCAAAACAGCCATTTTCTGTCCGTGAACTGATCTCTGTTCCCTGGAGATCAGTTGTAATCCCAGGAGATCTCCAAGCACTGCCTGGAGGTTGGCAACCCTAATTAGTGGGACCAGCATGAAACAGCTGGAAATCACAAATTCCATCTGTGTAAGACCCAGAGAAGGTCAGAATGTTGCGAATGATCATTTTCAATTCTTTTGGTCAAGTTCTACTACTCAAAATAGAACTTCTAAGTACAGGTAATCAGAATTTCACTATTAACTTTTTATTTGAGGTTGACCAAAGAATCACTAGAAGGGGCGGCGGTGACTCAGAGGTTAAGACGCTGAGGTGCAGACCAGAAGGTCTGTAGTTCGGCAGTTCGAGACCCGAGTGCCGCATGACGGAGTGAGCTCCTGTCTCTGGCCCCAGCTCCTGCCAACCTAGCAGTTCAAAAGCAAGACATTGCAAGCAGATAAATAGGTACTGCTTCGGTGGGAAGGTAACAGCTTTCAATGCTCCTCGGCGTTTAATCATGCCGGCTACATGACCACAGAAATGTCTTCGGACAGCGCTGGCTCTTCAGCTTGGAAACGAAGATGAGCACTGCCCCCTAGAATTGGATTCGACTGGCTTTCGAGCAAGGGAAACCTCTACCTTTACCTCTAAAGAATTTACCTCTAAAGAACCTGTCCTCTGCTATGAGAATACGGGCTGATCTTGTGTTTAATCTACTCTGATAACCTCTTAACCCTTCTCTTTGTCTGAAGTTCTAGGTTGAATATAATAATATAGGGATATAATTTTAGGCAATTCGTGAATTACTGTTGCTTGTTCTGCTTTGGTATGGCTTGTGGGCCCTACTAAAGACTGACTGCTGTTATCTGTGGCTGGTGAATTTGAATAGGGATGTAGGCTTTTATATAAGGTCTTGTGTGGAACTGCTGCTCTAATACCGCTTCCTGGTGACTGCAGAACTGTAATCCTTCAGCAACACAAATGTTGTCCCCCCCCCCCCCTCTGCTGGATCATCCCAGAGATGCACTTTGCTTACCAGACGTTGTAGAATATCATCAGGGACGTTGCGTGAATGGTTGCAGACCGAGAAGGCGGAGGAATGGCTGAAAATGACCGGCGCTTTGGAGGTGCTGAGGGCTGCCCTGGCTGTTGCATCCGAAGCGTGCGACAGGTCTATCATCATCCCCATGCGATTCATCTCCTTTACCACTTCCTGGCACAAAGCAGACATACAGCTCTACTGCCAGAGCACGTAACTCAAATGATGTTTAGCTCGGATGGGGGTTCTAGAACACTGCTCCCTCATCCTTCATTGCATCCCTGCCTGGTCTCCCTAACCGAAGCTGGAAACCCTTTGACCACAAACTATGTCACGTCATTGAACAGCACCTAGCAAATCCTTTGCGATATGTAAGGTCACTTCCTCATGAGAGGGGCAAGTTGCCATTTTGGTCTTGTGGGCCTGGAATGACACAGGAACCTCTGCACAAGGCAATCCTCTGCTTTCCCCTCTTTTGCCTGCCGCCTCCACCCCCCCAAACACCACCTTTAGGAGGCTTTTAGCTGTTTTTGTTTTACTGCCAAACCACCTCTGAATGTCTCTTGCCTTGAAAACCCTGTGGGGTTGCCATAAGTCAGCTGTGACTTGACAGCAAAAAAAAGAAGAAGAAGTAGGAATGTTGCTATAGTGTCTTATCCCTGCTCACTCAGTGGCTCAAGAGCCACACCATGCGGCCCTTCAACGGGAGGGGAGGTTGGCAACCCTAGCATGTGGCTGTTCAACATGCCTCCTGTGGCTCTTCTGCGAGCAATTTCCCCCCATGTGGTACATGTTTCAGGAAGGTAGGCAAGGCCCTTACCTGGTAAAGATTGTGTTTGGCAGGTAGTTCCCACCTTGAAACAGCCACCATCAGAAGAATGGAGAGCCAGGGTGGTGTGGTGGTTAAGAGTGTTGGAAGCTCACTGGGTGACCTTGGGCCAGTCACATTCTATCAGCTTTACTTACCCCACAGGGTTGTTGTGAGGATAAAATGGAGGAAAGGAGTATGATGAAAGCTGCTTTGGGTCCCCGTTGGGGATAAAGGTGGGGAATAAATAAACAAACGTAATAAATAAATGAATAAAATAAACTGCAATCTTCCCTGAAGTACAGGCCCCATGCCAGGGATGGAAGTCAATGTGGCTCTTTTAGTTGGTATTAATTGCAAATGTGGCTCTCCATAATTTGTGCAGTGAATACCACCACACTACAATGATAAATTTACTACAGATATATATATAACTAGCAGTAAAGCCCGTTGTGAAAACAATACAACGGGATCTAGAAAGAGGCTCTGGGGGAGTGCTCTGGCTTTGGGCAAACAGTGTCAATTTGCTGTGGTGACCCCTGGCCCCACTGGTGGACCTCCTGATGGCACTGGTATTTCTGGCCACTGTGTGATACAGAGTGTTGGACTGGATGGGCCTTTGGCCTGATCCAACATTGGCATCTCTTATGTTCTTAAGTGACATATTGATGTCACTTCCGGGTGAAAATACTCTAGGAGTCACACCAACTTCTATGGTAGATGCCGTAGTAATTGGAGGGATGCCTAGTACAGAGTTGCTCAGTGCAGTGATGTCACTTCCAGGATTTCACCTGTGTTTCGCCTGCTATCCTAATGTTTTCTAATCTATTCCATTTTCTAGCTTAAAGTTTCATTAAAATCCCATCGGGGGTGTGGCATCATCCCGCAGGGCTCTTTTTGTAGCAGGAACTCCTTTGCATATTAGGCGACACACCCCTAATGTAGCCAATCCTCCAAGAGCTTACAGAGCTCTTCTTACAGGGGCTACTGTAAGCTCTTGGAGGATTGGCTACATTAGGGGTGTGTCGCCTAATATGCAAAGGAGTTCCTGCTACGAAAAGAGCCCTGGGCGACACACCCCTAATGTAGCCAATCCTCCAAGAGCTTACAGAGCTCTTCTTACAGGGGCTACTGTAAGCTCTTGGAGGATTGGCTACATTAGGGGTGTGTCGCCTAATATGCAAAGGAGTTCCTGCTACGAAAAGAGCCCTGGGCGACACACCCCTAATGTAGCCAATCCTCCAAGAGCTTACAGAGCTCTTCTTACAGGGGCTACTGTAAGCTCTTGGAGGATTGGCTACATTAGGGGTGTGTCGCCTAATATGCAAAGGAGTTCCTGCTACGAAAAGAGCCCTGGGCGACACACCCCTAATGTAGCCAATCCTCCAAGAGCTTACAGAGCTCTTCTTACAGGGGCTACTGTAAGCTCTTGGAGGATTGGCTACATTAGGGGTGTGTCGCCTAATATGCAAAGGAGTTCCTGCTACGAAAAGAGCCCTGGGCGACACACCCCTAATGTAGCCAATCCTCCAAGAGCTTACAGAGCTCTTCTTACAGGGGCTACTGTAAGCTCTTGGAGGATTGGCTACATTAGGGGTGTGTCGCCTAATATGCAAAGGAGTTCCTGCTACGAAAAGAGCCCTGGGCGACACACCCCTAATGTAGCCAATCCTCCAAGAGCTTACAGTAGCCCCTGTAAGAAGAGCTCTGTAAGCTCTTGGAGGATTGGCTACATTAGGGGTGTGTCGCCTAATATGCAAAGGAGTTCCTGCTACAAAAAGAGCCCCTGGATGTATCGAGGAGGGGCAGAAATCCACATGTTTCCTCCCCCAGTTCCCCCAAACCTGCTTTGGGTATGGACTTTTAGGAAAGACTGTGCCAGAACAACTTTGGGAAAAGTCACAGTGGAAGGAGTTCCTGCTACAAAAAGAGCCCCTGGATGTATCGAGGAGGGGCAGAAATCCACATGTTTCCTCCCCCAGTTCCCCCAAACCTGCTTTGGGTATGGACTTTTAGGAAAGACTGTGCCAGAACAACTTTGGGAAAAGTCACAGTGGAGCTGGGCGAAAGGCAGAAGGGGGACAACTGGATGGCAATGTTGTGAAGAGGGTCCCAGAAGAACCACTGTGGGTGGGGAGGAAAGTGCAGCAAGAGCTTCAGGTGGAAGTGACCTAAATCTTATATAGCTGGAGGGGTAACAGGGAGCAAGAAATTTTTCACTGGGGAAGGGAATTAAAGTGTGATATTAAAAAAAACCCCTAAGGGTAGAGTCTGGCCTGATTCAGACATGTAGAAATAGTGTGATTGCAGGGCTTTGTAGACTGTGTTGTTTCCAACTGCAGCTGGAGGGGTGTATGTTACGTTAGAATCTGCACATGAAAACTCATAGCCAACTTGATGTAGTGGTTACAGGATAGCCCTGACCTGGATAGCCCAAGCTAGCCTGATCTTGTCAGATCTCGGAAGCTAAGCAGGGTCAGCCTTGGCTACTGTTTGGATGGGAGACCTCCCAGGAACACCAGGGTCGTGATGCAGAGGCAGGCAACAGCAAACCACCTCTGAAATGTCTCTTGCCTTAAAAACAAGGCTAGCTCGCCACTTAGTGGTGAATAACGCTAAAGAGCTAGAACTTCTGCCTGCCAGACAATCTTAGGATCTCCTTGCTATTCTATACACAACACCGTACAATAATTATTATTAGTTACAGCATTGTGCTAGGACAGGGGAGACCAGGGTTCAGATCTTCATTCTGCTATGGAAGCTTTGGGTCTCTTTGGGCTAGTCACTCTCCTTCATACTAACCTACTTTCACAGGGTTGGTGTGAGAATAAAATCGAAAGAGGCGACACCTACTGATAATACTTCAGCATATCAAGAATGCTCTGTAAGGAAGCCCAGTTACTATGGGGGAGGAAATTCCCTGCATCTGCTCCTCCACCTAAAAAGATAGCCCTGGTTAAAGACTTGGGGGCAAATGTTATAAAAAGCATAGCTAACTGTTCCTCAAGAACCAGTCTTAGGTCTACTATGCTTGGGGGTTTTCTTTTTCATCCTGCATTGATTCCCCCCCCCCCCTTCAGCACTCACTTTGCTTTATGGGGCTTTGCAGCTGTTTGTCAGTTTCAGAAAAAGTCTGGTCAGTTTCAACAGTGGGTTTCCCCCCTTTGTCTTCCTTCCTTTCTGTTCCTTTTCATTCATGGAACTAATACTGAAATGCATGCACAAAACCTGACCACAGGATTTAAATGGAAGGTGCTTGCTGGATGCTACTGTGCAGCTGTGATAGTGCGATTGCATAATTTTTTTAAAAAAACTTTGGACGCCACCCCTCACACATTACAAGTGCCGTTCCTACCCCTATTGAGAAAAAACTGCATTTTTTGGTTGTAGCTGCAGAATAAATACACCGAAGAAAAAAGAGTGGTGCACAGGGCAGGCACAGAATTCAAAGTCAGGCTTAAAGGCTCGACTGCTCAGATTCTCTGCAGTAAGTTGTGTGTGCATCATAGGGAGCTTACTTTGCCAAAAGCGGTCAAGCCTTTCGTGCCAGGATAGAAATTGTGCACTTGTTTTGATGACGTTTCTGCCCTAAAGAGGAAACCAAAAGAACAGGAAATGTACTCAGGAAAGGTTTAAAAAGATGCGTATGATTAACAGCATGGCATTCGAAAATAAAGCAACATTTACAGGAACACACGCAATTGAATTCTAAAGGAGCAGCCCCTTCCATGATGCAGTCAAACGTTGTTCACATGCAAGCCCAAACCAGTACAGCTGATTAACTGGTCTAGTTGCTAAAGGAATGCCCTGTGATCTGGTGTAGTTGCTGAAGGAATGCCCTGTGATCTGGTGTAGTTGCTGAAGGAATGCCCTGTGATCTGGTGTAGTTGCTAAAGTAATGCCCTGTGATCTGGTGTAGTTGCTGAAGGAATGCCCTGTGATCTGGTGTAGTTGCTGAAGGAATGCCCTGTGATCTGGGCAATCCCTGGTTCAAATCTCACCTCCACTACATACTCATGTAGTGGCCTTAAGCAAGCCCTTCTGTCTCAGTCTCAGCTGCTATCTGTGATAAGGGAAGATAGTAACACTGGCCTACCTTTCAGGACTGTAGGAAAGATTACAAAAAAGACGATACGTGTGAAACATTTAAAACACTGAAAGCTCTAGAAATGCTAAAAATGATCAATACTTTGAATCCCCGAGGGCTGGATTAAGAACAAAAAGAGGGTATTGGTATATATTACAGGGCAATCCTTCAAGAAATCACCTCCTGAGCCACCACAAAACCACGTGCAAGAGAAAATCCTGGGGACTGCTATCTTGCCCACCCAACTCAGTAACACTCAGAGGATCCAGAGAGTGGGACTTCAGAGGTCGCAGGGAGGGTCTGTTCCCGGACCTGGGTCAACATGCACTCAGTGCCAGTTCTGCATGAAAAGTGTGAGCTGAGTTTGTGCCACCTCAACTTGCCTCAGGGCTCTGTAGGACAGGGAGAGGATGTTTTCCCCTTCAGCCTTCACTTGGTTTTTCTATTTGAAACTGGGCCGTCTGGTTTTGCTTAAAGCATTTAAAAAAAATATTTGTGTTTGTGTGTGTGTGTTTGCCTGGAAGTCATGGCTGACTTCTGGTGACCCATACTGGGGTCTTGGATGTTTCTCAGAGAGGTGGCTTGATTAGCCTGTCTCTGTGTCCCACCTCTGGTATTCCTTGGAGGTCTCCCATCCAAACACTTGCCAGGGTCAGCCCTGTTTAACTTTTGAGATCTGACATGATTGGGCTTGTCTGGACTATCCAGGTCAGGGCAGGTTTTGTTATTAGCATTTTAATGGAGGGTTGCTTTTAAAAGATATATCTTTTCTCCTTTAAAATGCTAAAAGCAAAGCAGGGACCCAGGTCTCGAACAGCAAAATCAAGTGGAGGCCGAAGGGTTAAACAAGCTTCCTGGCACAACCCTGTGACAAACTGAGGCTATGCAAGACTGCAAGTTGCATTTCATAAAGTATATGTCTGTCTGAGCCCCGAGCTCCAGGTGTTGTGAAAAACAGCTGGTGAAATAAGTTGCTAGTTCAAGTGCTTCCCACCCTGAACAGTTTAGAGATCTCCAGGCAGCCAATTGACAGACACACTAATTTCCCCTCTGTAACAGACATCCAAATCCTGGCAACTTGTGAACTGAACAAAGGATCAACTGCACGTCTTCTGTGTTGTTGGGCCTCAGTTGTCCACCTGCCCCTCCATGCTAGTTCCATCTACTCCCTCCCACCATTTCAGGCAGACCCACAGGATCTCTCCTTAACATAAAAGAGTTTTGTTGACCCTCCTGAACATGCTCCAGCAGCCTTTCGCTCTCGCACCTGCCACTCTGAAGGATTCCTGGCTGCATTGGCTAGCTCCCTTGCCTCCGTCCCGCCCACAGAGGTGGCGAGCTGGCCGGTGGCGTCTCTGGCTCACTGTGCTCTGAGCCGGCCAAAGGGATGGGCGCTCCGCTGGACGGAGGGTAAGCAGGTTCACTGGGAGAGGCGGAGAAGAGGTGCAAGAGCCCACACACATTTGTCGTCGTCTGGGGCAGCTGAGGTGGCTCTGACGCCACTCCGCGCTGCGTTCCGCCGCCACCACACTGACAGGCCATCCTGATGCGGGCCCGCTGCCATGCCCAGACCCTCCTCCTCTCTGACCCTGGCGGTGGGAGCTGGGACACAAGTGCCGGTGGAGCAGCTGTGCTCTACCCGCTGCTGGGCCCACCGGATGTGGCCGCCCCCGCCTCTTCTTCTCCCGAGGGGCGGGCTGGCAGGCGGTGGCCCAGCTAGAGCTCATTGCATTTGTCTCCGCAACGGGCCTTCTTCCTAGTAGAAATATATCACAGGACTATTAATCAGTCCTGGCCAATGGCAAGATGCCATCTTTTGAAGGGGAAAAGGGACACTTGTTTGTGGGTTACCAGGGTGTGTTGCAGGTGTGTGTCAGCCCCATGTACCGAACGCCCAGGTCGTAATACATCCGCAGAGCCGCAAGACTGTTGTCAATGGCGTGACCCCCTTCGATGCCGATCAAGCATGCAATCTTATTTTTTGGAATGTTTTCAATGCCTGGATTTTAAAAGCAAAGTTAAAGTTAAAAGGAGACAGTTACACAGAGAAAATTTTGCAATGGCCTTTGGCTATAGCAACAAAGTTTGATTGATGGAATACAGAGGAACTGAGCAGAGTAAAGATATAATGTGGTGTATTGGCTGGAGTGTCAAACTAGGATCTGGGAGACCCAAGTTCGAATCCATACTCTGCCAAGGAGGCTTGCTGGGGGACCTTGGAACAGTCACACACTCTCAGCCTAACCTCTAAAACATCAAATGTTCTGGGTCTGGATTATCTCAAGATAAAATCCCCCAAAATCTAAGACCAGCCCATAAGGCCCTGCTTCACATTCCAACTTTCACAGAAAGACAACTGGTTTCTGTTACAGCCTGGAACTCTGGAATGCTCTTCCAAACATGTTTGCTCCCCCCCCTTCCTGACAGAGTTCCATAAATTAGCAAAGATGGCTTTGTTCGGTCATACATTTGGGAAATGGCCTTTTTTTCTCCTGTAATATTGCCGTACTGTTGTTGAGGCTGTTGTGCTAAAACAATCAAGGCAAAATTATTGATATTAAATTTATTTTATGTGTAATTTTATGAACCAAAGGTGGCATATAAGTTTGGTAAACAAACAAATGAGTGAATAAACACGAGGGCTGAACTGAGTTTACTTAATCTTTTTTCCAAAATGTTATAGTAATGTAAAAAAAAAGTCTTGGTATTTCAATTATTTTTTCTGCAATAACCATGGAAGTACTTTATTACTTTATGTTGTTCTCATTTCACCTCTTCGGTTTATCTGATATTATCATACACCCAGACTTAATTGGCTATTTTAACGGTGTGATGCCATCCCATTTTCTGATTGGCTGGGATTGCCCACGTGATCTATTCATGAAGCATTGCCCTCCACTCTCATTAGATTCTATTTGTCCTCGGTCACATCATTAGGCAGACAAATTCAATCATGTATGCAATAACCTTAGAGTCCTGTGGCACCTTTAAGACCAGCAAAGGTTTATTCAAGGTGAGAGCTTTCATGTGTAAACCACACTTTTTCAAATAGTATGCTTTGCACATGAAAGCTCATACCTTGAATAAACTGTTGTTGGTTTTAAAGGTGCCACGGGACTCTGAATTTGTTCTACTGCTTCAGACCAGCACGACTGACTACTTGGATCTATGCAATAACTTGGATCTATGCAATAACCTGTTTGCTGACTGGCTGGGGATGCCCACATGATCCATCTACCAAAAAGAATAGCTGGGAGAAATGAACTGGGGCAAACCAACAGCAGAGGAGCAATGGTGAACTTCCTGATCTCTCATATTTCCCCCTGATGTTTCCCTGTTAGGACAGAGGTCGCTTTACCATGAGTAGTTGTCACCATCTCAAATTCCTCATAGGATTCACACATCCGCTTGACAACATCAATCTGCTCCAGCGTCAGGCGCACAGCATCTTTGTTCTGAGCGCTGCAGAGAATATACACTGACCAAAACTGAAAGATTGACAAGATGTATCTTTTTAAAATTTGCATTTCATACCTACTTCTATACCTATATATCTCCCTCTGCCAAAGAGGCAGATATGGAGAATTATTCTTGAGAGTTGTGCCACCAGAGGACTGCCACTCTGCAAATGGCTTGCCAAATAAGATATCCAACCTGTTTTTATATAATAATTCCTTCTTTTTGTAAAAAAACATTATACAATTTTATATTATTAAGCCACCATGTAACAATTGAACAATAACAATGCAACAATGCAACACACCTTACAGAAAGCCAATCAAGACTGCGGTCACATGGAGCATTAGCCACGCTACAGAGACGGAAGATAGGCGGATTTTCCGGGCGTGATCACACCGCAACATCTTGGAAGCGTAGAGCTCCCGTGGTGAACCCGAGGCTTCCCGCCGAAGATGTGGAGTTAAAAACTAGTACCTTCGAGGTACTAGTTTCCAGAAACCGCGGGGCAAGGGCTGGCGTCTGATCGCGTTTCCGGAGGTGGCATCCGGCGCCCGCCCATGTCCCTTCGCAAACAGGTTCCCCCCCCAAGTCTCCACAAGATGCGCACAAGCACCCAACGGCGCATGCGCACAAAGAGGAAAGTGAAAGTGCCGTTTCGGCTTAAAAACAACAACAAATGACCTCGTTTGTCACGGCAGCGGCGCCTAGCCATTGCTGGTGTGATCGCACCGCGCTGCTTCTTTGCCGTGCTGCAGGATCATCGTGTGATCGCCACCCTCGTTTACCCGCCGGCGCCAAGGGAAGGACCCGTGGTGTGCTGCCGGCGCGTCTGATCACGTAATCGCGGATCAAACTTTGCTGGGGCAATTAGCCACGCCTCCCCCCCGCAATATCCGACCCGTGTGACCGGGGCCCAAAATAGTTAACATCCAATTCAAGAGGAATTCATAGAAGAATGTGCCCTCTGCTTCTGACTTCAGCTTTCAGCTACTCAGCCAACGGGAGCAGGTGCCCAGTTGCTCCTTGTTTCAGTGAAGCCTTAATCAAAGCCAAAACCTCGTCACACATACATTCCACATAAGGCATGATACATTTGCTGAAAATGATATATCTATTAGTGAACTTCACGCAATGTCACAAACCACGAAGTTCCTAACAGCAGGATAATTGGACTTACCAATTATTACCTGAATATCTTCATGGAACATATAAAGCCATTAAAACTTTTCCGTAGGACATAGTCCTTTCAATATTATGACCTCTGGCAACAATATGCATATACAGGTACAAACGTTGACTAATAAATAAAGCTTAGCCTAAATGGAGACAGCAGCGTGGAATTAACTTGACATCTGACAGCAAAATTTAAAGCAACAGTAGTATTGGCATAGAAGACAATTTTCAAACAAAACACGGGAGTTTAAATTTGAATTTAAATCACTTTGTGACATTGTGTGAAGTTCACTAATTGATATATCGTTTTCAGTAAATGCATCGTGCTTTATGAGGAACTGCTGTGTGTGTGAAGACGTTTTGGCTTTGATAAAAGCTTCGTCAAAATGAGGCGCAATTGGGCACCTGTTCCCCTTGGCCGAGTAGATGAAAGCTGGAGTCAGAAGTGGAGGGCACGTTCTTCTATAAATTCCTTTTGAATTTGGACTTTATTTTGGTTGGCTTTCTGCATGGTGCGTTGCATTGTTACATTGCTATTGTTCAATTGTTACATGATGGCTTGATAATATAAAATTGTATAATAATTTTCTTACAGAAAGAAGCAATTACATAAAAAGAGGTTGGATACCTTATTTGGCAAGCCGTTTGCAGAATGGTTTTTGTTTTCCAGCGAACATTACCCTGTGTATCCTTTTCATAGTGTTTTCCAGAGGACTGCTTGAATGTCTGCAAATCAATGGGCTGGGCAACACAGACAGGCCAGAAATTATGCAGGACTATTGTTGCTAGGACAGTGGTAGCTCTCAGCTGCTACATAAGCTGGAGAGAGTGCAGCAGGAAGTGAAGAAACCTGGGTAAGGCTGCGAGCAGAGAGAACAGATGCACAGCTGTTCAATGAGCTGCTTTGAGCTACTCAGTGCCAAACAGGTATTGTAGCGATGGTGGAGCAGACAGCTGTCCCAAGCCCTGGTGGAGGAACCCAGTGGTACCTTCCTGGCTCTCTATGACTCCCGAGAATGGAATCTCAAAGGGCAGGAGGCTAAAGTCAGGAGCAACCCTGACAGTTCCACTAGCCAGTGGTCCTTTCTTCACTAGTAAAATGTACAATGCAAAACATTCTTCAGTGCCTGGGTGGTGAGGTGAAGACTGGGGCTGTACTTCCTGAGGCCATGGGCCCCAAAGTCTCCCAATGTGGAGGGATCATGGCCAATGCTTCCTCTAAGCTGTGGAGTCTTGTGAGCAAAAATTCTACTTTGTGAGCTACTGGCATTAAAGCTGTGAGCGAGCGATTTGGCTACTGCATAGATTAGTTTGCTCTGGAGCCATCCTTCCTGAGCGCAGACAAAAATGTGTGAGTTGGAGGCTAAAATGCTGTGAGCTAGCTCACACTAACGCAGCTTAGAGGGAACACTAATCATGGCTCAGTAGTAGAGCATCTCCTTTGCATGGAGGCAGTCCTGGGTTCAACCCCTGGCATCTCTAGTTAAAAGGATGAGGGAGGAGGTGATGTGATCTAGATAGACCAGGTTGTCTGACTCAGTAGAAGGCTAACTTCACGTGTTCATTGACTATGTAGTAAGTGGTTTATATCCAGACCGACAATGCATTTGCCACTCTGGAGAGCTGTGTCTGTGTGTTTTTAGATATGGTAAAGGAATATTTGCTTGATCCCAAAACACAAAAATTAACTGGGCCACACCGCTTTTACCTACATGGGGGCAAAACAGCAATTTTGTGGTCAGAATGTCAACATGGTGTGTGTGTGTGTGTGTTAAACACCCTCTCCCCGCAGTGCCACAGTCTTGATCTGAATTGGGCCCCCACAAACCTATTAGGTTTCACACATGGAACTTCCTCCTGGACCACGTCTGTGAACAGTCTGTGCATGGGGACACATGGATTTTGTAATGCATGACTCATACAACACAGACAAGGATATAAGGGATACCTGCCTGAGCACCAACATGGCCAGTGGTGAGTTTCTCGATATTTGTGGCTGTGGTGTTGAGTGTCCTTAGGTCAATTTTACTCAGCTTGTTTTGATAGAACCATCTCAGCTTCAGGGGCAGGTCATTGTGTCTAAAATGGCAAAAATGTTGGAAGTGAAGGACTTTGCACTGTTTCTTAGCCTCAGCCTACAAAGGAGGTCTATAAGAGAGTCAGAGAGAGAGAGTCCAGGACACTGACTATCTTTTCTTTCACTCTCTGATACTATCCCTTTGGTGTATAGATTCCTACTCTTAGGGAAACTTCCTTCATTCCAGCCTCACACACTCTCTCTCTGCACACAATGCCAGGTTTCTCCATTTTGGCACCATGAGAGCAGGACGTACTTTCCTGCATCTCTATCCACCTAGTTAGTTAGACTAGATTAGAATCCTATCTCTCCCCAATCCTGCCTAGAATAGAGTTCCATATAGTAAAGTACTCATTAGTTTAACAAAGATAAAAAGGCTCTGTGTAAAATTGTTCCTGCAGCACACACAATCCAGATGGGCTCTGTTGCGCTGTAAGCCCTGAGTACTCTGCTAACTACTAGAAATAATTCCCACATAAAAAGAGCAAAAGATGTTATACGGTGGCATACTAAGCAGTGTTACATCATTCTATGCTCATTGAATTCAATGGACTTGGGTGTGACTCGTTTTAGGATGGGAATGGTAGTCTTCGAACCCTTCCTTGCCTGGTCATCCCCTTCAGCTGCTTCACTGTGGCAGGAGGAAAAAGACAGACTGAGGGAAGTTCTCTTTTAGGACTGGTTCACACATGCATATTTCTCAGAAGTCCTGACATCCATCATCACCTTCATGGCCTGGATTTTTGGTGCAATGCTTGTGTTATCCACTTATAGCATCACTGCAGATCAAATACATGGTACTGCAGCTTTGCTTGCCCGAGGGCTTGCCAGGTGGCTATGGTGGACAACCTCCTGCCCTTGGCCCCAGTTTCCTGCTGGAATGGCCGTGGGAAAGTGCTCTTTGCCCCATTGCAGTGTGCCCTATCGGCAGATGTGAACCCCTCGGGGCCATTTCTGATCTGTTAAACAGTGGGGAGGCAAAAGCCCTTTCTTCTCGTGTGCCACAGTCCTGATCCAAACCAGACCCCGTGCATCTGGGAGCCGAGTTCCCATTAAGGAACTTGCAAGCACTCATGGAATATGTGGACCTAGGGAGGGACTGGAGAAAAGCATTAGGGGTAATTACACCTGAAGCCCATTGATTTCTGTAACTCTGCACAGGCCTTAGGGTTGCCATCTGGGCTGGGAAATTTCTTGAGATATGGGAGTGGTGCCTGTGGAGAGGAGGGATTAGGGAGGGAGGGACCTCATTGGTATATAATGCCACAGAGTCCACCCTCCAGAGCAGCCATTTCCTCCAGGGGAACTGATCTCTAACATCTGGAGATCAGCTGTAATTCTGGGAGATCTCCAGGTCCCACCTGGAGGCTGGCAACCCTAACAGGATTGCGTGGCATGACACCTGGTTTCCAGGAAAAGGCTGCAATCAGAAGATTTTTATTTCCCCAGAGACTCGGGAAATTTCCTCTCCCCTCCATCCAAAACGATGGCAATTGTTCCAGGCCAGAGCCAGAGCCGGAGAAAGCACAGGTGAAACAAAAAGGTGGGGCACCCATAAGCTGCTGGGGTAAGATGGCAATAATAGCCAGGCCTGTAATTCTTGTAAAAAGAACCATCCCTAGGAGGGACTTCCCTGGAGGGTTGCTTGCTGGCAGGGGGACTTACCAGGAGAGGGAGGCAGGCCTAGGCTACGTCGCCAGCAACATGGCGACATCACTTCTGGAGTGAACCGAAATAGATGTCATCCCATCGGAGCTGTCCAGGTGACGATGGTTGAAGCCATTTTTACCATAGAGCTTTTGCCCAAATACCAGAGCATTGTGGCAACATCACAGTGTGATGACATTGCTTCCAGCACATGCTGGAAGTAACATATCCATGTTGCCAGGGATGTTGCTGGGACTCCTGGTAAGTCACCCCTCCATCACCCGCCAGTTGCCAGGAGGTACGTGGCAACCCCACTTCCCTGTGTACACAACATTAAGGGTGTGTTCAGATGGGGCATTTGCAACGGTATAGGTGCCAGTTGGAATCCGTGTACTTACCGGTGTTCACATGGCGAACATCTGCCTTCCGTCCCTAACCGTTGCAAAGAGCTTTAAACCGGTGTATTCTGCCACTAGGTCCCCAAGTGGTGGTATCCTGAGTGCAACGGTTGTAACTGCTTTACCCCCCGTCTGATCGCTCTCCACCGTTGTAGAGCCACTTCCGTTCGGAAGCCCAAGGCTTCCGATTTTCGCCCGCCATTTTTTTTTAGGTCGGCGATATGCGCTTGGGCGAAGCTTTGCCCCGGCATTTGTTTTTTTAAAAAAGAAAAGGTCCTTAGTTTAACGTTTTAGAGGAGTCCGGGACCTCAGGGAGGCCAGTTTGCTCTTTAAACTTTAAAGGTAAATCCTCTCTTCAGGGCATGCTTTTGGGGACGGGGGGTTTTGTGCATGCGCGAAGATTGCCATTCTGTGGATGGCTGTCTATGCGCATGCGCAAACTGAGTTTAAAAAACCAAACAAACCGCCAACGCCCGCTGTGTGTGAACGGGCATACAGCGATGGGCTCCGCAGACAGGAGGTAAGTGTAATCGCGTTTATGCCGGCTGAAACGCCCCGTCTGAACGCACCCTAAGTGTCTTCTGGATGGAGGGGAGAGGAAATGTCCAGCAACAATCAGCAACATTTACAATTAGCATTTATTTATTAATGCGATTTCTTCCCCTCCCTCCGCGCACGCTCACACACAGACGAAATAATCCACTTTTAGCGCACTTTCCAACTGGATTTTGCCAGTTCACACAGTAAGATCCAGTCGGAAAGTGCACTGAAAGTGGATTGAAAGTGGATTATTTAGTCTGTGTGTGACTGCAGTCAAGAAAAACAAAACAGTACATTGTACCTGAACAAGAATATATAGAATCTGGCCCACCTGAGTCCAGGGTTGCCATACCATACTTAAAAATAAAAAAATCCACATACCCATCAATTAAACGTGAACTCCTCATGCGCGCAAGAGCCCGGTTCCTCAAGGATGCATCAGCTCCATATCCCAAATGATCCACAAGTAGCGTCAAGAAACACAGAAGTATTTTCGGCAGATCCCTCTTTGGGCCCACAAAGAAGTTCATTGGATAGAGACATCCGTAAAATGGCATCTTGGCTAGAAAAGAGCTCCAGACTGGCAAGGTTTGCAGAGGTTCCATCGGACTTTCATTCACACGCTGATGAGGGCTGTTGTCTTTGGCTGCTGTATGACCAAAGTGGAAAAGAAAAGAGCGAATAATAGAAGGAAGAAAAGTATTGCAGACTCAGCCAATGGTACATTTCAGTGATGACTTTCCAGTTCAAATGAGTCACCAGCTTTCAGGGAAGCTACCGGGATTCCCTCCCACACAGGAAAATGGTGCAAATGTCCCTTTTTAGGAAGGATCTTAGTTAGGGATAGCCTCATTCCAGTCCCCAGAGGGGCCTAGAAATCTCCCCAGGCAAACAGCTTTTGCGTGAAATCACACACAACAGGAAAGAACTGGTGAGAAGAAACGGGTTTCTGGTCATTTAGGAGTGGTAACGGCATGAATGAATAATGTGTCGTTCATCCGGAATGAATAATGTGTAGTTTTGAGCACTTTTAAATTGTATATTATGTTTTTAACTGTACTAAAGTATTGATGTTTTATTAGCAAGTTTTTTTCTTGCCATGTAGGCCGCCCTGAGCCCCACGGGGAAGGGCGGGGTATAAATTTAATAATAAATAAATATAAATAAATAAGATTAAAAGACGGCTCTCCCCTCCCCAAATGCATTTCCCATATTTAGCAGAGATAAAGCCCTGGCGGTCATCCCCATCTGAACAGCACAAACCACCTGGACTTAAAAAGAGGGTAACTTGTCCAGAGAAGACTCTATCCTTTTGAGAAAATAGTAAACATTCGCACATCTCTGGTGCTGTTGTTTTCAGATCCCATGAAGAAGATACGTAGATACTCCCTGAGTCTTAACCTAGGATCACTGCCAGAGTGCCTCCAACAAAGTGTTGACAGATTTTTCTTCTTCTGCTGTATCCTGGATTCTACACAAGCCTGCATTGCAGTGACTCAAAGACAGAGAGGGTGTTACAGCTTTTGGCTGACATCATGCTTTGATGTTAATGTGTTGAGTCTTCCAAACAAAGCTGGAGTTGCCAACTCTGATTTGGGAAACCCCTGGGGATTTGGGAGTGGAGCCAAGGGAGGGAAGGGACCTCAACAGGGTATCAGGCCGTCGAGTCCTCCCTCCTCCAGAGCACCCATTTTCTCCAGGGGAACTGATGTCTGTAATCTGGAGACAGCTGTAATTCCAGGAGATCTCCAGTCACCACCCGGTGCTTGGCAACCCGAAAACAAACATTGCCAGTTGTAGCATCCAGCAAAGACAGCTGCTTACGGCATGGTGTATTAACATTCACCATGTGCCTCCTGTGATAACGCACCCGGCCCCTACTTGAATTGGACTGCTGGAAGCTGGCAGATGTTGTGCAGTGTGAAGCCTGAGATTCCACATGCAGCAACTGGTGAGGATCATTCCAAATGACAGATAACATCAGAGAGGAACATAATATTTCTCTGGATTTGTTGATCCTAGCTTTTGAATCTCTGCCGGCCAGGCTGGTGCAAAGCAAGTGAAGGCAGCACAGAGCAGGCGTAGGAAAGAACAAGAGGCAACCCACAGGGACTTACGGGGTGGCATCTGATTTCTCCTTCCCACACTATTTCCTGTTTCCTGGCAGTCCCCACAGCCTCCCCCCTTTTCCTGCTTCTTTGTACTCTCTTTCCCACCCAACAGCCAATCTACATTTATATGCTCCTCTGTCTTCAGCTCCCACCAAAGCAGACTCTACCTAGGAAAACTATGGACAGTTGTTTGGAGCTGGCTGCTGGGTCCAGCCCACTTGCATGGTAGGGAAACCTCAAAGACTTGTTGAGGGAAGGCACATCACTTTCCTCTATATTCCCCTCCCCACATCATTTCCCCTTTCCCAATCCTGGCAACCCCTATATCCTCTTCCCTTTTCCTGCCTCATTCTCTTCTTCTCAGACATTCACCAACTTACCTTCTATCTGCCTCTCATTTTCAGCTATATTTATTTACTTCATTTATACCCCACCTTTCTCCACAGTGGGGTCCCAAGCTTCTTACATAATTCTTCTTTTTTATCCTCACAACAACCCTGCAAACCTGAGACTTTTTTTTCAGGTTTGTATAAAGATCTTTCTTGTCCATTCATGGTTTCCAATAACTGGATTTAAGTAGCATCAGATCTGGCAGATTTGGCTATTACGACATACAAGTGGGAACTCACAAGAAACTTGCAGGGAGAGTGCATCCTATTCCCCCCACCTTTACTCCCTTTCTTTCCCCACTTCTCAAATAATCATCCACCCCTTCTTTCTCCCCCTCCCTGACAATCTTACCCACCCCTTTCTCTTTCAATCTCCCCTCCATTTTTCTCCCTCTCCCCTTCTCTGACAATTTACCCCCCTCCCTTCCCACCAACCCTTCTCTGTCAATATTCCCCCCTCTGCCTTTTCTTCCCCTCCGGTCTCCTTACCTTGATCTCTTCATCTGCAGGCTGACCGGTTAGAAGGGGGGGGGGAGTTTGAAAAGGACAGCTGTGCCGGTGACTGTAGAGGGGTGTGAGTGGGGTAGGAAGCTATTCCCATCCCTGTCTCTGTAGCTGCTGGCTCAGCTTTTAAGGCTTTCTCCCAGCAGCAGCTCTCCCAGCCACCCACCCGCTTCCTCTCCTCAGCAGTGGAAGGGCCCTGGCAGCAGGCAGGGTCCTCTGGAGCTCTTGCAGCAGTGGCAGGGCCCCGGGAGCCATGGCAGGGTCCTCTTTAGGTAACCGCTGTGCGCCTGTGCAGGAAATGTTTATGTTTTGGGGGATTTAACCCCTCCCAATGTACTTTTTATTGCTTTTAGATTTTTCTACAAACCTGGGGGTTCTCACAAGTTTGGAGAAAAATCTCCCTTCTCTCAGTGTGGGCCCGATCTGCAGATTTAGGCATCTGCAGATCTGCCCACACTAAAGAAATAGATATATAGATGATATGTAGAAGTGGAAGGAGAGAAATATGAGGAACTGCAACTCTGACAACTCAAGACTAACAACATCTTAAAATTCCACAAGGGTCATAGGAGGGATGACAGCCTCCAGGTAGAACCTGGAGATCCCCCGGAATTACAACTCATCTCCAGACTACAGAGATCAGTTCCCCTGGAAAGAATGGATGCTTTGGAGAGTGGGCTCTGTGGTACCCCACCAAGGCCCCTGTCCACCTCAGGCTCCACCCCCAAATCCCCAGGAGTTTCCCAACCTGGATCTGGCAATCCTACCCCCCCCCCATCCCCTGGTGGTGGCCAGGGGGGACCTGGCAACCTTAGGCTGTAGCCATGCCTATCTTCTCCAGCCAAAAATAGCAAAACCAAGAATGGTTCAAAACCAAGAATGGAATCTTAAGCAGAGCTACAGCTTCCTGAACCTACTGACTTCACTGGCACGTCTGTTTAGGAGTGCAGTGTAACAGATTCATTATGGGATTCCTTATTCAGAGGTGTGAAGTGTTACATTCAGTTGGCAGAGGTTAATACCCAAGGCTTTAAACAGCTGGGTGGATCCAGGCAGCTTTTTCTCTCCATCTCACCCAGTTCCCCTCCTGACTACAGACAGATGTGGCTTTTGTTTGTGCCGCTCCCACGGTCCCCAGCCCAGCCTTTTTGGTCAAAGGGGATCCTTCCTTAGTGCCTCCTTTTTCACCAGCAGACAAAATCCACCCCGCAGACAGGAGTGGGAGAGAACTGTTACTAAGGAAGGGCAGAATGCTATTTCCCTTGACATTGCAGAACAAAGAAGAAAACAAGACCTTCTCAAAATCAGGACAGCAGCTTACCAGGAACTGGTGCCAGAGAATATGGACTGCTTTTCTGTGTGGAAATAGATCAAAAATTCTCACACTTCAGGAGACAAAATTCCTGAGAAAGGGAACTACACAATTCACAAGGACAACCAGTGTGGTATAGTGGCTAGAGCACTGGTTCCCAAAGTGGGCAATACTGCCCCCTCAGCGGCGCTGGAACGATCCAGGTGGGCTGGAACGATCCAGGTGCAGATCCACAAACTGCATCTTTTTGTCCACTTCTTGAAGCTAGATGTCCAGGGGGGCGCTGAGTAATTTTTTTCCTGAAAAGGGGGCAGTAGACCAAATAAGTTTGGGAACCTCTGGGCTAGAGGATCAGACTAGGATCTGGGAAGACATGGGTTCGAATCCCCACTGGTGGCATGGCAGCTTGCCTGGTGACCTTGGGCCAGTCACACACTCTCAGTCTAACTTACCTCACAGAATTTGTTGTGAGGAAAGAAAAATAATGTCAGCCCCTTTGAATCCCCATTGGAGAGGAAAAGCAGAGTGTAAATGAAATAAATAACTCAAACCTCTTAACTCCTGAGCTCTGAAATCAACATCTGCAATGTGTGTATCAGGAAATCTTGGAAAACACAGCAACTTATGGTTAACCGCCCCATGAAGTTTACATTCCACATGGAAAAGCTCATACTCTTTTCTAACAAATGGCTGTTGTGTTCTCAAAGCACTGAAGCAACACATCTGTCACTTTGTCAACTTCCTAGAAGTCTTGCTCAAACACAGCAGAAAGCCCGCTGAAGATGCCAAAGACACCGCCTGTCCTCTGTTGCCACTGCTTATTATTTACTAAAAGGGCTTATTATAATGATCCAGGAGCTGCGCAAGAATAAAATCAGGGCCTTGGCTGACAACAAGGTAAAAGCAGTCGGTCGGCAGGAAGGAAGGAAGGAAGGAAGGAAGGAAGGAAGGAAGGAAGGAAGGAAGGAAGGAAGGAAGGAAAGAAAGAAAGAAAGAAAGAAAGAAAGAAAGAGAACCAGGAGAGAAAAGTAAAAATCTTGGCACTGCCTGGGAAGGCTGTACCCACAAAAAATTAATTTGATCATTCCTTTGGAGTGGGTGGGGACAAAGTAGTTTTCCCAGGGCTCCTTTCCTACTAGCATTCATGTGGGCCCTAGATAGTTCCCCAAAGAGATTTTTCTCCCCAGTCAAGGAGTGGATAAAGAATGCCACTAAATACCCCAAAGCATTCTAAAAGATCTTTGAAGTTTATATTTTTGTCTATTCACTTATTTCGAATATTTATTGGTTGCTTCTTTTTGTTATACAGCCAGTGTGGTATAACGGTTAGAGAGCCAAATTAAGCTCTGGAGGATTTGGATTCAGACCCACATTCTGTCTAAAGACTGTGATTAGAGCCCTTCTAAATCTAAACCAGTGGCCCTTCTCGTCCGGCCTCCTGTTTCACACAACATTTGAGTCTGATAGTGCCTTAAAGACCACCAAGATTTCCAGGGTCTAAGCTTTCAAGTGTCAAAGATGAAAGGAGTTTTGGGGTGTGGTCACACGTGTGAGATAAACTGGGGGAGGGGGTAGCGAGGCTATTCCCTCTGGAGGAATAAGACCCACAGTTGCTCGATCACACAGTCCTTTGAAGCTGCAGGGGCAGCCCGCCACTGCGTGATCAGGTGCAACCATGGGTGAGTCGGGTTTCCCTCCCCCCCATTTGTTCTCGATGTGCTTAAATCGGGAATTGATGAATCACATCTCAGCACTGAGGGCTCCCTATGGAGTGTGCGATGATGTGCATACTGAGAGGGGGAAAAGCCAACGGCACGGAGCCAGGATGGCCTGATCAGACCATCCCGACGCCATGAGAGCACGCTGGAGCGATCAGACAGGGGAAAGTCCGTCCATGGCACGTCGCAACCCATTTGCTACCAGACTTTCCCCGGTGTCTTTTTACTCTGCTTCTGCGGCGGAGCAGAATGGGCTGCCGATGGGTGCGGGGTGCTTCCCAGATGTTGTTGTCTGATCGCGCCCTTTAAATCTGCCTGGCATTCGCGCCTATGGCGTGGCTAATTGTGCGTGTGCTCATGCCCTTGAGTCTCGAAAACGTATACCCTGGATATCTGGTGGGCAATGCTCCCTCTAAGCTGTGGAGTCTTGTGAGCAAAAATCCTACTTTGTGAGCTGCTGGCATTAAAGTTGTGACCAAGCCATTTGGCGACCCCATAAATTAGTTTGCTGTGGAGCCCTCCTTCCTGAGCGAAGACAAAAAGGTGTGAGCTGGAGGCTAAAAAGTTGTGAGCTGGCTCACACTAACTCAGTTTAGAGGGAACGCTGCTGGTGGGTCTTTAAGGTGCTACTGGACTTGCTCTTCTACTTCAGAATGACATGGCTACCCACCTGAAACTGTTTCACCCAGTGGCCAACCAGTTTCCCTAGAGGTCAAGGAGCAGGGCATGGGTAGCCAAAATGTTCCTCTGATGTTGCCTCCCAACACTGTTATTCAGAGGCTGACTTCCTCCAAACATGGCGGTTCCCTGTCACCACTATGGCTATGAGCCACAGATGGACTTGTCCGTCATGAATGTCTATTCTCCTTACACAATCCCCCCATGAAACTTGCTTGATGACCTTGGGCCATAAGAGCAGAGCCTATTTTGTTGCTATGACGATAAAAGGAAGGAAGGAAGGAAGGAAGGAAGGAAGGAAGGAAGGAAGGAAGGAAGGAAGGACCACGTATAGTGCACCACCCTGAGCCCCCTGGAGAAAAGGCAGGGTAAAAATATACCAACTAGGTATAGACAACCTGTTCTTATCAACTTACACTTCTGATGCTAACAATTTTCAGATGCCTGAGCAAGGAAAAGGGGTTATAGAAGTGAGTAAGTGACATGAAAAATGGCTGATTTGCCATTTCATTATGTGAACCAGCCTGCCCCACCAAGATAGGCTACAAACCTGAGGTAAAATATCTTATAGCTCTGTGGCAACGAAATACTCAATGGAAAGTATGTAAGCCATTCGTGCCCAGTTTAAGGTACTCAACATAGCCCTAACCCAAACAAGGACACAAACTTTGACTTGAATGTATTTAGAAGGGTAGAACTCTGATTAGGTTTGCCCTGTAAATCTAATATTTTCAGTAGACCGCAGCAGAATCTGGCTTCGCCTGTTATTTCAAAGCATTTCTTGTCCTCATATCCCCCACTTACTTGTTCCATGTGACTTCTCGGGCAGTCGCACTCACCAGTTCCTGCTGCCGTTTGACGCACAAGAACTCACACCTTCTGGTATAGTCTGTGTAAAACCAGCTCTTCCTTCCTCCCCAGAAACTCACAACTCTGAAAAGCTAATTTTAGATTACAGAGGGTCTCTTTTCTCAGACTGCATCAGCATCAGACCGGGACTAGTAATTTTTTGCAGCTGGGACACAGCAGCCCATGACGTTGCTACTGATGCCTGGAGAGAGATTACGAAGGGAGTCACTTGACTTCTGCTGCTATTGCTGCCTTCTCACTGAAAGAGGGAAGCAGAGAGGCAGCCTCATGTTCTTTGGAAAGCCTTTCAGTACAGGCCATGAAATGATACACGGGGCTAACACATGGGACTTGAAAGGATGAGCAGTAATTTCCTCTTCTCTGGAACCCTGAGATCAGCTAGTGCAGATTCTGTCCTCCACTAAGACAAAAACAGACATACACCCCCCACACATCCCACACTTCCAATTTCCAGGATCCTTTTAGGGAGCAGAGCTACTTGCAAACACCCCATCTCACGTTTGCAAATGCTTGAGAATATTTCCCCCTGAATGCATAGGAAGAGAGTAGGGTTGGCCAGCTCTGGGTTGGGAAATATCTGGAGGTTTTTTGGGGGGGGGGCTGAAAAGGGTTGGGTTTGGGGAGGGGAGGGACTTCAGTGGGGTATAATGCCCTACACGTCGCCTTCCAAAGCAGCCATCTTCTTCGGGGAACTGATCTCTGTCACATGGAGATAACTTGTAATAGCAGGAGATCTCTGACCACCACCTGGAGGTTGATAACCCTAGGAAAGAGGCACCATTTCACTAGGCACCAAAGAAATGTAGTCTTTTGAGGGGGACAGAATCACAGCACAGGTCAAAGGTTTGGTCTTGGATAGAACCCAGAGTAAACTCAGGAAGAAAAACAGACAGTGTAGTTGAACAGAAGCCCTGACGTGGACGGCCCAGGCTAGCCCAATCTCCTCAGATCTCAGAAGCTACGCAGGGTCGGCCATGGCTAGTATTTGGATGGGAGACCACCAAGGAATACAAGGGGTATGATGTGGAGGAAGGCCATGGCAAACCACCTTTGAACGTCTCTTGGCTTGAAAACCCTGCGGTTGTGACTGGCACTTTCCACCACCATTTGAACAACATGCTTTATGCCAATAAAGGTGTGTGAGAGTGAGAGTGTTCCCTCCTGACACAAAAGTGGAAGAACAACATTCGTTGTAATGGGGGGTGGGCAGAATTGTACTTCAGAATAAATGGAGATGTTTGTGTTCTGAAAGAATAACTACACATAGAATTCTCCCAGAATTGTCAGTGATCTCCAGATGACAGAGATCAGCTTCCCTGGAGGAAATGGCAGCTTCAGAAGGTGGACTATTTGTCATTATATCCCGTGGAGTTCCCTCTCTTCCCCAAACTCCACCTTCCACAGGCTCTTCCCCCAAATCTCCAGGAATTTCCCAGACCCTCTGAAGCATTTGAAGGAGGGCGGAATAAACTTCTACATTTTCAACTAGTACAATAGTATATGCTAAGGAAGTTGTAAATTATATATATATATTTGCGGTCAGTGCAGTAAAATCAGTTAGAAAATGAGTAGTGCATATATTTCAATTGTCCCCAAAATGACATTCCCCCCCCCCCTGGGGAAAACTGGTTCCCCCCCTCCCATGGCTTCAAATTATTTTGCAAATTTTATGTCTACAGTACCTAGGGTTGCCAACCTCCAGGTAGTAGAAAGGAAACAAACAACTGTGATGTATTGTGCCAAAAAAAGTCTTCACAGACTTGAAAATTCTTTTTCCAGTATTCAGTTTACTTGAAGCAATTCAAATGCCATCAACACCCGTAATTGCTGCCAGCCAGCCGTTTGTCAGACCTGCGTCTTAAAGGGACAAAACCCATCTACAAAGGCAGAATGCCCTGCGGAGGTTTTACAAGCAGTTACCATATGAGGTTTTACAAGCAGTTACCATTTCACCTACATCAGGAATTGCTGCCAGCCAGACAGTCAAGCCCTTTTACAACACAAACTATTTTACCAAGGACAAAAAAAGGTTTATGGATTCATAAGCTCAATTCTATTGCACCTAATGGGTTAAATGCTGAATTGGACCTTAGCTGTTTTTTGCAAGGTTTTTTGTTTCTTTCATTTCTGTGCAATATGATGTTTTCTGTGGTGAAAGATCATGTTGGTTTTGATAAGTCTGTTTTGAAAATGGGTGGAAAGCAATGGTTTTCCTGTGTGCAAAATTATGGTGGTTTTTTAAAATGGTGATCTTCTCCCCCTGTCTTTTTTGTCCTCGGTACAATAGCTTGTGTTGTAAAAGGGCTTGACTGTCCGGCTGGCAGCAATTCCTGATGTAGCTGAAATGGTAACTGCTTGTAAAACCTCATATGCTGGTTCTCCTCCGCAGGGCAGTCTGCCTTTGTAGATGGGTTTTGTCCCTTTAAGACACAGGTCTGACAAACGGCTGGCTGGCAGCAATTACGGGTGTTGATGGCATTTGAATTGCTTCAAGTAAACTGAATACTGGAAAAAGAGTTTTCAAGTCTGTGAAGACTTTTTTTGGCACAATACATCCCAGTTGTTTGTTTCCTTCAGGGGTCGTTTCGTAGAAAAAGAGCTAGGGGAACTCATTAGCATAACTCATTAGCATATGCCACACCCCCTGACATCACCGGAAGTGTGTCATAAGGCCACACCCCCTGACATCACCGGAAGTGTGTCATAAGGCCACACACCCCGCCCCCAACGGTCCCGACCGCCGCTGCCGGCCTTGCAACTCCACTGCCGGGGCTGCGTCATGTGCCCCGCCCCCCGTACCTCACCCGGGGGAACTGCGATCCCCCGCGATCCCCCCCGAAATGACCTCTGGTTTCCTTTCTACCTCCATCCCGTGATCTCTTTGGTTTGCAACCTCCAGGTACTAGTGGCTGGAGATCTCCTGCTATTACAACTGATCCGCAGGTGATGGAGATCAGTTCACCTGGAGAAAATGGCAGTTAGATTCTATGGCATTATGCCCCAAGCTCTGCCCTCCTCCGGCTCCACCCACAAAATCTCCAGGTATTCACCAACCTGGAGCTGGCAACCCTACCAGTACCATGCAAAGAGGACTGGGAAGTTGGAACTGTAGTTTTATTAAGGGGTCTGATGCACCTTCCAGCAATGACAGTCCCCATGTTTGTTTGCAAGAAGCTGTGGCAGGTAAACCAGTTTCAAACAAGTATTCAATTCACAGTGCTGATGTTTCCTTGCTGCAGCTGAATTGGATATCTTTTTTTGTTTTAGATTACCTCCATAAAACCATTTCATGATGACTGCAAGTTTGGAACAGCAATTTCCAGATTTTCTACAGGGAAACCTGGAGAACTTTCATGGACTCATCTGCCATGGAATTCTGCTCACTGAGGAAGATTCTATAGAGTCTTCTAGCTAAGGTATACACACAGTTCAAGCTGGACTTGGGCCAGCAAGCCCGTGAACCTTAACCCTTGCCCTGCATGAAGAGACAGCATGTTCTACAACTAGGGCTGCCAATCTCCACATGGGCTTTGGAGAGCTCCCACAATTACAATTGATCTCCATATGACAGAGATCAGTTCCCCAGGAGAAAAGGGCTGCTTTACCTGCTAAGATCCCGCCCCAAACCCCGTCCTCCCCAAGGCTCCACCCCCAAATATCCAGGAAGTTCCCAATCCAGAGCTGGCAAGCCTCTCTAGTCTAGAATACCCCGTACATTTCCCCGAAGCAAAGCACTGCAAGGGAACACTGTCAGTAGCTAGTGGAATGACTCCCATGGAACCTTCTCCATCGTCCCTGCTGGACTTCCTAGGATTGCCAAAGTTCTCCAGACTGTTTTGAAAATTCAGAAAAGTAACTGAAGCAGTTTGTTGTATAACGCAAGTTACCCCAAATCCTAAAGAGGCCCTCCCCTTGCACCTTTTCAGGCCTCCCTGCACAGCTCACCCTGGGCCCATACATCCCCCCCTCCCCCACACATATTTGATAGGGTTGCCAACCTCCTGGAGGCCTGGAGTTTTCCCAGAATTAAAACTGACCTTAAAAGCACAGAGAGATCCGTGCCACTGATTACCGGAGAAGATATCAGTTGCAGAGGATGGACTCGGTGGCTCCCTTCTCTTCCCAAATTCCACCCTCTCCAGGTTCTGCCCCCAGATCTGCAGGACTTTCCTTAATACCTGATCCTTAATAATACCTGATCACCTCCAAAGACCAGATGCCATCAGTTTTCGTGTTTGCACAGCAGATTTATTATTCTCTCTTTTTTTCTAACATGGCTGCCACGTGGGCACGACAACAGTGAAAGATTAGACTGTCGAGTCTCTCGGTCGTGAACTTCGTACAAAATGGCAGCGTCAGCAATTATGCACTAACCGACAGGTGGTTTCAGTACGAGGCGGCACGCGTTGGCTACCCGTTCCAGGTCGATTTGTTCTTCATTGGCTGGCTGAGAAGCCTGGGCGTCCCGCACCTGCAATTCAAATCCAGAGCTAACTCGAAGGTAAGACCCACACCGGACATATGAATCTCTCCTGTACGGAGTAAGGTCATTTCAACACCTAGCTCAGTACCGACTGCTCTGACTGGCAATGGATCTCTGGCAAAGAAAAGCCTTTCCCAAAACTTGCCACCTAAGATTCTCTAATTGGTGCTGCCAGGGTTTGAAGCGATGGCCTTCTGCATAGAAAGCATGAGCTGTTTCCACTGAACCACTTATGTAAAGCCTGGAGTAGTACAGAAGGTCGTGCTAAGGTCAATTGAGTCCTGCTCGGAAGCATCCATGACATGCATTTAACTTGTTGAGCTCATCTGATGGTAGAAACCCTTCTCTGAGAACACAGGTTTGGGCTGAGTGTAACACGGGGAGGTGGGGGAGAAGATGGAAGAAAGAAATTGGTGCCTGTAGACGATCAGCCATTTATAATACCATAATTTAAAATGGTTACTGAAAAATACTTCAGTCGAAACACATTCAGGTCTTTATATGAAGCTCATTTTTTGGGCTGCTTTAGTGATGCTGATTCATTATACTGGGCAAATTAGTAAAAAAAATTTCCCTTTGGAGGAGCCTTGTGATGGATATGACAACCCTAGACAGCTAACTGCACTGAATGTTCTCAGAGCTATGGTTTTACTAGCAATAAGACTTTAGATCAGGTGTGTCAAACATAAGGCCTGAGGGCCAGAATCAGCCCATCCAGGACTCTTACCAGGCCCTCAAGCAACTGGCATGTATTGAAATGTATGGTATCCCTTGGGAAAAACCTAGTCTTGCATATGATTAAATACATTTATTGGGACTTTTGTGGGTTCCCCAGTGAATCAATTGCTGTCACTGCAAGGAATCAATTGCTTTTGTTTGTATTTTGAGCAGGGCTACTTTTGGGCAGGAACACACAGGAACGGAGTTCCGGCTGGCTTCAGAGTTGGCCACGCCCACTACAGCCAAATTCACTGCGTGTGTGGCTACAGAGGGAAGGCCTGGAGAGCGACCCCCTCCCGGCGACTCTGAGGCAGGTGGGCCAGGGGGCCATGGAAGGCCATTTAAATGCCTCCTCATGCCTTCCCTGGCCTGTCCAAGGGCCGGCTTGCCCAGGCTCCCCACAACCACGGGGCACCCAGGCAAGCCAAGGGAAGGCATGGGGATGTGGCCTAATATGCCAATGAGCTACACTGTCAGGGGTGTGGCCTAATATGCTAATGAGTTTCTGCTGTTGGGTGTGGCCTGTTATGCTAATGAGTTCCTGCTGGGCTTTTTCTACAAAAAAAGCCCTGATTTTGAGTAAAACAAATAATAGTTGTTTGCCTGTGTTCTTTATAAAGTTTAAATCTCCAGTATCTGGCATTACATTTTATGGCACACATGGCCCGGCCCAACATTTATGTCAAATCCAGCCCTCATAACAAATGAGTTTGACACCTCTGCTTTAGATCATATTCAAAGTTATAGACCGAATTCCCTTCTTAAAATCAATTTGTTTTTGTGTTTATTGCAGGTGATATCTAACGGGGACACCATAAGGAAAGGCATTCTGGGATGCAGTGGAACAGCAGGAGATGAGGAAGTTGCACTCTTGTGGATGCAAATCCCTTCCATTAATGGAAATGAGTGGTGGATTGAAGATGGTGGATTTCATTTAGTATGCCACATCCAATAATTTCTTTTGATATACTAAAAAATATGTTGCCACTAACTTCTTACTTCTGTACCAAATTGGCAAAACAGTGGTCACGAAAGTTCTTTTTCATGATTTTGGAGAAAGGGTAGCAAGCAGTTGGACCTTTGCTGTGGTGAGTGTTCTGAAGACGGTCTACCTCCTCCTCTGCTCCTCTACTGAAAACAGACTCTGTGGTTTTAAGCTTGTCCTGTGCTACCTCAGGGTCCCCCCAACCTTGTTGAGCCTGGGGCCACTTTTTGAATTTAAGAAAAGGTATTGGGCACTACCGCAAAATGGCTGCCACAGGGGCACAGACGATCACAAAATGGTTGCCATGTGAACTGGGCCCTCCAATCCCAGGTTTCCTGCTGTAGCAGGAACTTGCTTGGCAAACCCCCCCCCCACTCCAGTTCCCCACCATGGGAAGGTTAAAGGAGTTCCTCGGCATCATGGGACATCACTTTTGGTGAACTACCATAAGTGACTCCACTGCGATGGGGTGACACTCTAAGATTTAAGCATAGAGATTTGGGTGAATTCTAAAGCATCAGTCCCAGCATAATGGTATCACCTTTTCACTGGGAGTGATGTCACATGTTGGTCTGATGCTGAGAAGATTCTCTCTCTCCCCCCCGCCCCAGTTGAGTTGTCAGCCTTGGTTGGTAAACCTAACCAAGGCAATCCTAGCACCCTTGGAGATTCCAAAAGAAGTATCCTCCTATGATGGAGGCAGGTGTTTACTAAATGGTTGCTTCCTCTAGACATCAAGGTGATGCCTCATCTTCTGAAGCATCTCCTATCCCCAGTGAGGTACAGGAAAGTCAGGATGGGCTCTGCTTTGGGGAAGAAGCAAGCAGGCACCAGGAAACAGAGTGGCAGGCTCCATGGAGCCCACAGGCACCCCACTGGGGGTCACTGTGCTACAGAGGGAGGCAAGAGAGCTCACAGCCTTCTCCCACCCCGTAGATGAGCGAGCTATCTATTCAGATGGTCTTAGTGATCCCCTACTTGTTCTGATTCTACATTCACTAACATTTATGCTTGGTGACCAAGCCACATTTAAGATAAAGAGGCTCTAGAGGGGGAAAACCAAACCAAACCAAACCAGACCCAAGCCTGGATCATGATGATGTTATTTTTTTTCTGCCTTACTTGTTCCACCGCCCGGAAAACACGGAGGAAGTTCTCTCTCAAAATGCCTCGTAGCTCCTCCTCACTCCAGCCTCTGTCCAACAGGGTTTGGATCAATGCTGGGTATTTGGAGACGTCCTCCAGGCCTTCGGGGTGCCTATTGAAAACAAAACAAAGAGAATCACCGCAAATCTCATCCCCTTTCACAAGGGACCTCATAGTAGGTGCTTGGTGGTGGAAAGTGCTGATGTCACAGGTGACCGATGGTGACCCCTGTAGGATTTTCAAGACAAGAGACAAACAAAGGTGGTTTGCCATTGCCTGCCTCGGTAGCATCCCTGGCCTTCCTTTGTGGTCGCCCATCCAAGTACTAACCAGGGTGGACCCTACTTAGCTTTCAAGGTCTGACAAGAGCAGGCTAGCCTGTCTAGGCTGGGGCAGTAAGGGCTCAATTAACTGAGGAGCATTGTCTGTATGTATGTCTGTGTGTGGGGGGGGGAGGGTGAGCTTTACAGCTTGTTTCTACAAACTGGTTGGGGAGCTGATGCTAGACTCTTCCCTCTTTCTATACTCTGTATGCATCTGATGAAATGCTAGAAAAAACTTTGCTAGTCTTTGACTTCTGCTTTATTTTGCTGCAACCAACTAGCACAGTGAAAGCTGCTGAAATTCTACTCTATGCTGATTAGTTCGTTTGGTGTTGTTTCTCCCCACCTCCCCCAGGGATAGAAAAAGAGGGCATTTCAAGTGCATGAACTTAGCATTGTTTCCAACAATCCAGGCCTGGTGAAATTCAAAAAGCATCCCTTCAAAAGGCTCACAGCTGTCCCTCGCTTTATTTGGTTATGGATCCCAAGTACAAAAATACTGAGGATAGGTTTGCTTTTTCTGGCACAAGTCCCATGTCTGAAAAACCATATAAGGCAGTAACCATAACCGACACTCCTCGAGAAAGCAGTTTTTCTTCATAGGGAGATTCAGTGAAAGGGGATGTTTCCTTTGATGCTTTGTGCTGGGTCTCCAGCTCCAAAGAGGGAAATGACATTTGCAAGCCTTGCTGAGCATAATGTGCCTTGCTTGTATTTGAACTGGCTCTTCTCTCTACCAAAGCCCCTGGAGTAGCAACTGGAAAAAGACTCCTCCTGCTCTGTGTATTTGCCAACAAAAGCACCAACATGGGCTAGATCCTTTCTCAGTCACTTCCGCTGGGGAAGAAGAGCTGCAGTTGAAAACAGGTGCACTCTTCACAACTGACAGGTGTGCTTTGTACTGGGGTACCCGTTGCCAAATATGAGAGAAACCGGAAGTACTTTGCAGGTCAAATGGGTCAGCTACATAGATTGGCTTTGCAGTCCCTGGCTGCAAAGTGTCCTTGGTGTTGCTTTAACGTAGACCAGGGGTCATTTCGTAGAAAAAGAGGTGCAGGAGCTCATTAGCATAACTCATTTGCATATGCCACACCCCCTGACATCACTGGAAGTGAGTCAGAAGGCAACACCCACCGCTCAGGCTCCACTGGACTGTTTTGGATTGCTAGCTATTGGGGGGGGGACGTGCAGATCTGTCCTCGCAGAGGAGGGAGAGATTGTACCTGAATAAAACCTGGTCTTAAAGGTACCACTGGACTGTTTTGGACCGGGGGGCCAGGTGGACTCTGCAGCTTACCTGGCTGCTTCTTGCTCTGACTGAGGGCTGCTGGGAGCAGGGGGTGCAGCTTGTTGCTTGTGCCCACCCCCTGGGCTCTTTACTGCCGGAGCTCCGCTTCTGTGTGCTCCTGCAGGAAATGACCCCTGACGTAGACATAACCTCTTTGGCTATAAGCCACTGGCTCACAGCCTGTGTGTCTTCTCTGTTTGCTTGGTTTACTGGTTTACGTATATGGTGTTCATTGTATCATAAGTCCCTTTGGGCCCTGACCTGGATGGCCCAGGCTAGTCAGGTCTTGGAAGCTGGAGCTCACTCCGTCATGCGGCACACTCGGGTCTCGAACTGCTGAACTACCGACCTTCCACAGCCTGCAGTTCAGCGTCTTAACCACTTGAGCCACCGCAGCTCCATCAAGTCCCTTTAATAGCAGTTTAAATGTGGGGAATGGTCAGGTGGAGCTTCTCATGCACGGAGGTAAATAACATTCTAGTAAGCAGCTATTAAAAGGGCAGGAAATTTTTTCCTACACGTTTGTTGGCAACTGTATTTCCCATAGAAAAGTGTAACAGAAGAGCCACTCTGCTCAAGACACTTTTCAAGGTAAGAGATCTGCAGCCCTACGGGCACTGCTGAATAACTTCTTGCAATGGCAAGTAATTTAGAAGTCACTGGAGGAGCTGAATGCCTCTTCAGTTACCCTTTTCTATGAAATCACACTCCCCCCCCACTTTGTCACATGGCTTTCAATCAAGATTGCAGTGACTCAACAACAAGCCTTCAGGTACTTGTGAGCAGTCAACACTTCCAAAGAACTGACAAACCGTGAACTTCTTGGCAGTACCTGAAGAGGTTGCGGTTTCTTATAACCAGGGCTTTTTTTGTAGAAAAAAAAGTTCTCCCAGATTAGAGTCCATGCTCCTAACCACTACACTAAACTGGCTCTTGTATGGTATCTACAGAATTTTGTATCAAATTTATAACTCTCAAATATTTTTTCCTCTGTTTTCTTCTTCTTTCATATTGGCTAAGGCTTGAAGGAACACGCACAATGTTCCTGGCTGATGATACGTCTGGCAAGAGTGGTTGCCATCAGTGCCGATTGTTGAAAACATTAATTGCATTGCATTGAAAGGTATAAAAGATTTAAAAAAAATGTTCTCCAAACTCTGGAAGACTTATCCCAGAAGCCACCGCAAGCTTTCTAAAGGAAGATGTGGAATCCACTACATTGGAAGGAGGACCACAGACAGAGTCCCCATTCGTTCAGATCATTTGGAATCAGAACTGTATGGCCAGCCAGTAGTGAAAACCTCCTTCCATAGGAGTATAATGCAAACATTCTAATTGCTGTAGACAAAAAGTTCAGGGGGGGAAACCATCAAAACCATCACAGAATTCCAAAAGTGGCAGATACACACGGCAAGCCTACTAAATAAATTAATAAGTCATATGAAAAGAGAAATGCCCTCATGATGCCTGGGTCATTTACATTGGGTCATTGTCAAGCAGGATTTGCTTCAGTGTGTTAGACAGAGTTGTGCAATGAATTTTAAGAGAACAAGTTTGCTTTAAATTTACAGTCTAACTTAAACCAGGCCACTTTCAATAGTGAAACTTAAGGGGAGGAGTTTTAGACGTGTCTATTGGGAAATCCCACTTTAATGGTGCTTGCTCCCAGGAAAGTATTCTTAGAATTTCAACAAATATAATATTTTATATTTGGCTATCTTAATGAAGTTTTTAATGACGTCTTCTTGTGATCGATTATAATGGCCCTTGGCTATATGCAATAAATGTTATTGTATAACAAATTTTTAAATTAAAAAATCCAGTTTTTAATACAAAAATCGATTGCTATTTTTTTTAAAAAAAAAAATTAACAGCCTGCGTTCATCCAGCTTTATCATTATTCCAACTTTTTCAGAAAGAACCTGTTGGTAAGGAAGACCGAATGCACAAAAAACGCTTACCAAAGAAGATCTGATATGCTCCTACACTGGAGTTCAGGATTTCTTCACCAGTGTGCCCAGGGCTGGCAATCAGTGGCCCAGAGAGAAACCATACTGGTTTGTGAAATCTGGCTGGGGTTGCTTTAAATTAGACTGATTCACAGGGAACCCTGCACTACAAAGCCATTTTTGTACACCCCACAGCTCATGCAAATTGGCACACACGAATACGTAATGACATTTTAAAAATTCTACTTTGTTTTTACTAACTCATTCATTCCGTCGTATTCAGCACCGATTCCTATGTATCCTGAACCTATTGTTGTCTTTATATGGTCAAAATGATCTAAATAGGAGGGAAAGAAGAAATGAAAGAAAATTAGTATACGGCAGATGGGGAAAGGGTAGCTTTACTAATTCCTTCAGCTCATTGCATTTTCATCCTGCTTTTTAGATTAAAAGCACTATCCCCAAAAGCAACTCACAATTAAAATGTAATACATAGTGCCAGGGGCGAGGGCTGTACATCAATGAAAACACTACACAGGCCTTTCCTCCACTTATAAAGCAGGTTGCCAACTCTGCTTGGCAAATTCCTGGGGATTTGGGGCCGGTGCCTGGGGAAGATAGGGCTGGGAGAGGGAAGAAAGCTCAGCAAGGATGTGATGTCATAGAGTCCACCCTCTAAAGCTGCCATTTCCTCCCAGCAACTGATCTCTGTAGTCTGGAAATCAGTTCTAATTCGGGGAGAACACCAGGCCCCACTTAAATATGGCTGCCAGCTGTGGGTTGGGAAATACCTGGAGATTTTGGGGACGGAGCCTGGGAAGGGCAGGGTTTGGGGAGGGGAGGGGAGGGACCCCAGTGGGGTATAACGCCATATAGACTGCACCTTCCAAGGCAGACGTTTTCTCCAGGGAAACTGATCTCTGTAACGTGGAGACTAATTGTAATTCTGGGTCATCTCCAGCCACTACCTGGAGACTGGCAACCCTATTCCTGAGTTTGTCAATGCAATGTATTCAAAGCTGCCTTGAATGCAATGTTGTGAAACATCTAACTGAAATGTAATGTTGAGCTTTGTCCTGGGCTAGGATCCAAATCCATCCAATAGAATTGCTAGCCCAGGAAGTAACAAGCCAAGCACTTCAAGGAAGCTCCCTGAGCGGGAACGAATGTGATTGGACCTTATCTCGGCAACCCCATAGGTTGATATGTGTACAGTGGGTGTGGCTATATTAGCCGGGAGTGTTTACATTGGACAGCTCCAATGTAAAAGCTGTTCTGGCTATCTGATGTTGATCCGTGTTGGAGTTATGTTCGAGTTGAAGAATCACTCTCTGACTGCTTTGTTAAGCGCGACTTAACAGTCAACCCTGTTATGAAGTGAAAGGCCAAACACACCAAGGAAGGGGAGTGGAGGAGGTCGGTGGCAGAGGGAGATCGCTGGATGAGAAGAGAATAAAGAGTTAATTCTTAACCCTGACCTTTTCCTTGCCACCTGTTCTCACCTAGTAATTGCTTGGATAGCTCCTGCACAACCTGAAAACAGAGCCCAATGGCAGTCCAGGCTGTATTCTGGAATAAAGAAATCCCAGAAGTGCCTAAGCTTGTCCTTTCCCCCAGCTCTAGAGGAATGCACAGAATACAGCAGTGGAGTAGCCACAAACCTGCCACAGCTGAAATGGTCGCCTGGTTCTCTCCGCAGGCTATGTTCCTTTTATCGAAGGACACCATCAGAATTCCTTTGTTTTCTTTCTGCAAAGAGGAGGACAAATATGGATGTTCTCGTTTCTCTGTTCTCCTTAAGCCAGAGACACACTGACCGCCTTTTCCTATACAAGCGTCTCTTGGAAGAGGGACAAATTGAAGAATGAAGTGGTAGAATGAGCTGTACCCTCTCAGGTGTAGATGGAAGACATCACATTAGTAATACTTCCTCATGTAAATATTCTTTGCCAAGTAACACCTGAGTGTATCAGACAGAAAGCCCTTCATGTACTGTACATATAAAACATACTGTACTGGACATACAAAGCTACCTTATCCTGAGTCAGACCATTGGTCTATCAAAGTCAGTATCATCTTTTGCCCTGACTTGGATAGCCCAGGCATGCCTGATCTTGTTAGATCTCAGAAGCTAAGCAGGGCTGCCCCTGGCTAGTATTTGGATGGGAGACCTCCACAGAATACCAGGGCCGGGAGGCAGAGGCAGGCAATGGAAAACCACCTCTGAATGTCCTCTGTCTTCAAGCCCTGCTAGGGGTCGCCAGGTCAGCTTGACTTGATGACAAAATTAATAATTAAAGTCAGTATCGTCTTTGTCTGCTGCCAGCAATTCTCCACAGTAGGTAGGTAGGTGGAATTTTATTGCATGAGGCCAAAGGCCATAACAATATAATAATAGCTGCCCGAGCAGTAATAAATATAACAGTAAAAACACAACAAAGTTAAAAATGATGTTAAAATCGTCAGGCCCAGGACATAACACAGAATTCAGCACGTTGAACATCAGGGCGAATGTTTTGCATTCTTCTTGGCAGCCAATGTATACAGTGACATAATATAGGTGACATAGGCTTGCCAAGTCCCCCCGGGGGGCAGGGAACCCCCCCGCCCCAGAGGCCCATTCCCCGCCGCCAGCGGATCGGGCCCCAGGGGGAACTCCACCCCGACGTGCACGTCGCCCGGAAGTGATGCGGGCACGCTGGGCACGCTGGGGGCGGGGCCACATTCATCCGAGGGAAAACTCTATGGTTTACCCTCGGATGGTCGTGGCCCCGCCCCCAGTGTGCCCGCATCACTTCCGGGCGATGTGGATGCGGTGCGCGCTTTGCGCACACACACGCACTCTAGCCACCAGCCGGGAGTCCCCCACTGCGGCTGAATTCACACTTGGCAACCCTAAGGTGACAGTAGGGGTGCCATCCTCCAGGTGCAGCCTAGACATCTCCCAGAATTGCAACTGATCTCCAAGCTACAGGGATCAGTTCTCCTGGAGAAAATGGCTGCTTTGGAGGATGGACTCTATGGCATTATACCCCAATTGACATCCCTCACCTCTGCAAACTCCACCCTCAAATCACAAGGAAATTCCCAACCCACAGTTCAGTCTTACACCAGAGTCTCAGTTCAAGGTCTTTCACTGACTACCTGATTCTTTAAACTGGAGATGCAGGGGATTAAATCTGGGACCTTCTGCATGCAAAACAGATACTCTGTCACTCAGTCATTAAGGTTGGTAACATAAATTAAGTGGTACTATCAATTTTATCATGTTGGCACACTCCACCTCATTACCACCTCAATTCTGCTGCACATCTAGGCCAGGTCTAAGTCTCTCAGAGCTAGTCCTATTCAAACCCTCTGAAATTATACTCTGCATAGCACAGCACTGTCATTTATTCATATTTTACAAAGATTTGCAAAGCTTTATATGCGCTTATAGCAAAAGAGAGGGAGAGACTGTAACAATTTTGATTTCTGTCACCAAAGGCTGCTATTATTATTATTATTATTATTATTTAAAAACAGTCAACGCAAAACAATCACAATAAACTTGTTCATTCTGCGGTGTAGTTCTTACCCCACAGTGATGTGGTAGCACAGGTCAGGAGGTGTTGACTCAGCTACTGAGTTCCCCAGATGTGCACATCAGCTTGATGAACGTGTCTATATCCAAGCATGTTATCAATGGCAAATACTTTGATGATGTCCACAACCACTGTTTTATGCAAAGAAATGCCCGAAGAAACAGTGCTGCCATCAGGGACAGAGCTGTCACCACTTTCACTGTTCCCTTTCCCTGTGGATTAGTTTGCTGCTGCCAAGTAGTTTTGTTGTATTTTTGTGCTTGTATATTTATGCCTGTATTTATAGCTTTTCGCTTTATTGTAAACTGCTTTGAGTCCACACTCAGTGGTGAAAAGCAGGGCAAAGTAACCAAATGAATGAATGAATAAAATAGTTATTTTTCCAATGGCCATTAATGGACACAAACTCTACTTATAAATACTTTTGTAGTATTTATTTGCCCTGCATTTAATGAATCCTCCCAATTCTCTTATATGTGCCCTTTTAATCAGTGGAAGCACCAAGGATGAAAATGACAAAGGGATAGGCTGATGCATGAAAGCAGCACTCCTAACAGTGCAATCCGATGCAGATTTACACCAGTTTAAAACCATAGATTTCAATGGGCTTAGACTGGAGTAACTCTACATAGGGTTGCACTGTAAGACTCTTGAGATCCTGCTTGGAGGGCAGAAAGTGTAAAACTGATATTGACAGACATTCTTTAGCCCTTTTCCCAAACCCCGCCCCCTCACAAATGGCTACGAGAGGCTCTTTGATAGAGATGGCTGTTTTACAGATTAGGGATGCTTGAACACCCGCCAGTCTGTCTCATGCTGTTTGCCAGTTGGAAACAAAGTCATGATGTTTCAGCCATCAGTTTGATAGTTCTCCAACCTATTTGTGGATGTTTGACAGGTTGTTGCACTGCTTTATCATGCAGTACCGCAGGCTTTCTGCACACGCTTGTTTTCATGCAGCCTGACTGATGTCCACTACCTCCCCATACTGCCGGCATAATTGCTCTGCTCAGCAAGCAATTGTTTACATAGACAATTAGATCACACACAAATTGTATAAACCAGTCATCAACAAATGCTGTTCTTCAGTAATATCCTACCCTTCGGTGTGCATCTAAGTAGTCCTTAGTGGCGCACTAATGGCTGCCGATCAGTTTGACTCAGCAGCTGGCTGCGGTGGGGCTATTCAAGGCTCCGCCCCCTTTCTTAAAGGAACAGCCCCACAAGATATCCCCTTGAAAATCCTTTTAAAAGATATTTTTAAACATATTAAAGAAGCATGCACCAGCAGCAAAAAATAGCAGCCCTACCAGGAAAAAAATTGCCCTACAAGCCACAAAATCCTGGCTATGGGCCTGCTCAGCGGTGTCTTTGCACATGTATAGTTTTAGGACAACCTGGTTCTGATCACTTAGAAATCATATAAATCAGCCATCAGTGAATGCTGTGTTTCAATGAATGCTGTGTTTGCCTAAATAGTTCTTAGTGATGCTGGTGGCCTCTGATCAGTTTGAATCTGCAGAGTCTTTGTGCATGTCCGGTTTTAGGAAAACCCGATGCAAACCAGTTTGGCAGGCATGCGTGGCTGCTTGGCATGAAACAAACAAATGGAGCAATTGCTGCCTTTGAACAGGGTACGCTCGACCATCTGTTGTGTTCACAGACATATTTGCAGCATTCCTAGTACAGATGTGCTCTAACATGTTGCCAGAAACCCAAGCCTGGGTCCCCTTGGGTTATTGCTCCTTGTCCCTTGAGCAACACCCCAGACAGTGGGTCGTTGAGGGTGAAATGCACACAGGTAAAACAGACCTCTAAAACATGTAGAGGTTTATTAATTAATTAAATAAAAGAGATCATGACGCAGTGAAATCTCTACCGCTTAGCAACAGAGAAAATAAAGAAGCTAGCTGTTCTGTCTAATACACTGAATACCTGGTATTAGATGGTACACCTTCTTGCAGCATGAGACACCAAGCTGTAGCCTAAAGCATTCTATATGTTGCAGTCCTTCATGATGAAGCATAACACATCGAAGCATACTAGCTTGGCATAAGCATAAAGTCAGCACAGCTTCCCTTCGGCCTATAACCTTATTATAGCGTTTTGCCCTCTGGCACCAGGTGGTCTCTTGGATCCAATCAGGAATCTCTCTTGATGGACCTTTCCAGAATATGTTAATGTCTACTCCTAGCTCCCCCCTCCTACCTGGTTATATAATTGAGTGCAGGTTCTCACAATTAACCAGCGACTGCATCCCTGAGTCCAGCCTTGCAAGAGATAAGGATGGTATCTGCAGGAAGGCCCAAATCAGAAATGCCTCCGAAGTCAGACTAGGTCCTCTAATAGTCATATTAACTGAGGGAAATTAGGGTGCTTTGCCTCACATGTTCTACAGTTTTGGGTTCCACATTCTCTTATCTTGAACATTTACCAAATTTCCAGAATGCAGTCTGGTAAAAATTGGACAAAGTACTATCAGATCAGTCCCAGTAGCATGGCTTTCCGGAAGAACATTTAAATACTGAGATTTTTTTGGGGGGTGGGGAAACTGGTTTCCATTCTGTTCTAAAGTAATCTTAACCCAAATTTTAAAATGTGGATCCTTTGGGGGCCAAATATTGTTTATTTTGATCAATACAGGGGTTATGTCCCCTGTGATGAACTGACGTCCAGAGCCAGGATGCTTAGTGCATCAAACTGGGAGAGCTGGGAGATTAGGGGTTAACAAGAAGCAGGGACCTGCGATACTCATGGGGGGGGGGAGAAGGAGCTCCATGTGGAGGAGGAGGAGGAAGCGGCCACAGGTGAGCCTGCACTGATGGCGAGGCCCGGACCTGCCAATCCTTCCCCCAACCCCCCCTGGCACCGATGGCGAGGCCCATGCAGCTCCCAGCCCCCCTGCACCGGCAGTGAGCCCCACAGGCCTGCCGAGCCTTCTCCCGCTTCCCCCCGCACGGGCACCGGCGGCGAGGCCTGAGCAGCTCCCAGCCACTGGGCCCATCGAGCCTTCTCCTGCTCCCCCCGGCACCGGCAGTGAGGCCCAAGCGGCTCCCAGCCACCAGGCCCGCTGAACCTCCCCCCCAATGGCCAGAGCGATCTCTGCGCATGTGCAGGGAACGCTTTTACTTTTGGGGGGATTTAAAGTATTTTTCTGCTCACCGGTTGCCAGTCAGGAGGAGTGTGTGTGTGTGTGTGCATGTCAGTCTGAGGGAAACAGACAAGTCACTTGGGAAGTGAAAGGACACAACCTTTACTGTACCTTTACTGTACACCAATACATTTGGGGGAAAGTTCAGAAAGAACTTAACGTCTAAGTGTCAGCACTAGCTGAATTCTCTGTTTATTCACTGTCTCCAGAACTGGGGTTTAGGTTTGCCGGGAGAGGTTGGGTAGTTGGTGGGAAACTGCCAGCCTAGCCAAACAGAAAAGGGCAATCGTTCCTAGGAAAAGGAGGATATCCCTTACCCAGTTATTCAGAGGGTTCAACATAAAAGGGACCTCTGGTTTGAGAAGTGAAAAGGGAAATGGTCTTAGACTCCTCAACAGTACAGAAATAGAAAGTTATAATTCCAAAAGGGAAATATTGATATGCAGGAAAAAAGTTCTAACTTCCAGAAAACTGAGACATTGTTATGAAACTTTGTTGCTGTAAGAAATCTCCAAGGCAAACGAATCTCTCACAATAAAGAACTAAGTCTTTTAGAATTCAGGCTTCAAGTACACTCTGTTGCCTGTTCAAGATATTCTAACTTTCTTATGAAGAACTACAGTTTAAAGAACTCATCACCCCCTGCCCTATTCCTGATCCAGCTGTGCCTGCTCAATAAAATCTGCTTTTTTGTTTCAACTTTACTTTGTGTCAAGTGCCATTTCCAAAGGGGTTTTTATAAGAGGGCTCCTGCTGAGTTACAATAAAAATCTCTGGCCTGAGTAAAAGCCAAATAGCATTTTTAACACTGGGTGGGAAACAAAGAAAGTTATAAGTTTATGATTCACATATGCTACCAAAGGCTGCTCAGTCAGAGTGGTGAACAGTGGTTTTGGTAGGAAAATCTGCCTCACAGAACAGAAGGAGCAGGGGGTCCGTCATATCCCTCCACGATTTCACAAGGAGGTGAGCCTATCCCCTAGTTCAGATGCCCCTATTGTGGGGCCCATGGATGCCATGGTACCTGTCAACACCTTTCCTGGTGCCCACTAAGTGCATTTAGAAAGTGGACGGGGTAGGTGGGGCTTTTCCCCAGCAGGGCTTCTAATTGGCTGTGCAGATTAAAAGGCACTCTGTTAAAGAGAGCTTCTGCCCGCAACGCTGAAGAGTTACCATTCTAGTTATGCAAAACCTCGCTCCCTGACATTTTGCGGTTGGCTTTTCCTCCCGTGGCAGCTGTTTTGTGATTGGCTCCCCCTCCTGTGGCAGCCATTTTGTGATTGTGCCCACTGCCCTGTGTCAGAATTCCAAATGTGCCCACAGGCTCAAAAAGGTCAGGGAACTTGCCCTAGTCTCTCTCTCTCCCTAGTTTTTGTCAGGTAAGAGAGAAAAAGGTCACACTTACCAGACGTTGCAAAATATTATCAGGAACGTTCCTGGGGTCATTGCAAATGGCGTGGGCTCCCGTATGGCTGAATATGACTGGCGCTTTGGAGAGTTGTAAGACAGCCATGGCAGTTGCTTGAGATGCATGAGTTAAGTCTATTATCATGCCCAGACGATTCATCTCTTTCACCACTTCCTAGCAGAATACAGGCAGATGGCTTTATCAGTTCTGCAACTCTCGGCAAATACTCAGCACCAGAGATAATTGACTAACACTGTGACCACTTAGCCCAGTCTCAGGACCCAGGTTATTCCCCCCCCCCATATGTTTTTTTCAAACCGCATTTGAAAAAGGACACACATGATAAAGAAGCGTATATGCTCACTTACTGTACCAAAAGCTGCCAAAGGTTCAGCATCTAAATAGAGAGTGTGGTCCTTATGTGTAGCTGTTTGTGCCCTAAAAATGAAACAAGAATCAGTGGGGTACCTGTGTTGGTCTGAAGCAGCAGAACAAAGTTGGACTCCAGTGGCATCTTTAAGACCAATAACATTTCATTCAAGGTATAAGCTTTTGTGTGCCCGCACACTTCCTCAGATACAATGAAATGGAATTGACCAGTCCATACATATAGGCAGAGGGAGCTGTGGTGGCTCAAGTGGTTAAGACACTGAACTGCAGGCTGTGGAAGGTCGGTAGTTCAGCCATTCGAGACTCGGGTGCCGCATGACGGAGTGAGCTCCCGTCTCTAGTTCCAGTTCCTGCCAACCTAGCAGTTCGAAAGCAAGAAATTGCAAGTAGATAAATAGGTACCGCTCCGGTGGGAAGGTAACAGCGTTCCGTGCGCCTTGGTGTTTAGTCATGCCGGCCACATGACCACGGAAACGTCTTCGGACAGCGCTGGCTCTTCGGCTTTGAAACGGAGATGAGCACTGCAACCCTAGAGTCGGATTCGACTGGCTTTCGAGCAAGGGAACCTTTACCTTTATTTTTTACATATAGGCAGAGGGTGAGCAGCGAATCAGCATGCAACATAGTGAAAATGTTTATAAGATGCAGGAATAACAATCTTAGTTCATATGGTTACCATTTGTTTGGGTTCAATCCCGGAGGGGGGGGGGGGGACATAGTGAAGGAAATAAATGTCTAAATTGGAGGTTGATGTATCCTTAATTGGGGAATGCTGAGAGCAATTAACTGAGACCTTGACCCTGACCTTGAATGAAACTTTGTGGTCTTAAAGGTGCCACTGGACTCAAACTTTGTCCTTTTGAAACAAGAATGTGAGGGGGAAATCCTACTATACACACAAGTAAGGTCTAAAAAGAATTACAAGGTAGACACAGACATTTAAGATGAAACAGATATACAAAACCCAGGCTGCTTCCCAAGAGAGCGCACCAGTTCATATGTGCAGAAATCTTTATGTTGTTTGAAAGTACTAAACCGAACAGTTAATACTGGAGTCTCTTTCTTGCTGTGACTCCAAGAGGACAGAATTCACAGAAAGAATGCAACCAAGCCTTCATGAGTCAGTCCCTGGACTTCTCCCACAGTGTTTCTTCAGCTGGAATGGACTTACCTAGGGTGTCCTGCAGCACCTCATCTCCCTGAGACAGATAGTGAAGAGGATTACCCTAAAGATGCTCAACTCAAGTTAAATATGTGTTTGCTTTTATTAATGGTTGGGTGTTAGTGGCATCCTACCTCCCTAGTCAAAGGACCTTTCTGTAGTGCTAGTGCTGCATTAACCCAGCGATTCAGAAGCAGAGGTGGTCTGCCATTGCCTTCCTCTGCTGAGCCTTCCTTGGTGGTCTCCCATCGAAGTACCAGTCCTGCTTTGCGTCTGAGATCTGATGCCATTGGCCTATACATGCCACCTTCCCTCCCTTTAATCTTCAAGCATCCGCTTATCTGAATAGGAAAAGTAACATTTTTGAAGGGATGGCTGTTGTAAGTTACCATGGTGTGTTACAGAAGGCTGTGAGTGTCAGGTAGCGAACGCCCAGTGCATAATACATCCTCAGAGTTGCAAGGCTGCTGTCAATGGCGTGACCCCCTTCCACACCGATCAAGCATGCTATCTTGTTACTTGCAGTGTCAGCGATGCCTGGACCCAAGCAGAAAAAACAAGGACAATTAAACCTGAACGGCCCTTCTAGCTATAGGGGCTGCTCTGTAACTGTGATGAGTCAGTCAGTGAGATCCTGATCCAAGTCAAGAGTTTCAGGGTATCAGCTTTCAAGAGTCAACGCTCCAGGGTCTATAAGGTGCTACTGGACTCAAATCTAGCTCCTCTGCTCCTGACCAGTATGACTCCCCTGTGAAACTATCATCAGTGAGAACTCATATAGCTGGAGGAATCCAACATTTGTAATCCTTAAAGGTGTCATCACACATATCTTTAGTCTGTACCTTAAAAGCTGAGGGCAACACACACACACACACAATGTGGTAAGGCAATTGTTGATGCTGCCTGTTTTGGACTTCAGCAACTATTATGTAAGTGTAATGCCTGTAAAGGCAAGCAAGGCCAGAGAGGAAACACCATAGCTGCTTTAAAACCAGAATGCCTGCAGTCCAACTGAGTGGTACCCTCCAAGCGCTTGCTTGTGTGGCTGGGTGACGGAAACAGTCCTGCTACCATGCATTGAAGGGTACATCTGTGTGTTTCTCACTTTTTATTCTGTGCACGTCTTTCATTCTCCCCATTTTTGTCCTTCTGTCCGTCTTTGGAGATCACTCCTACTCTTCTTCTTTTCTCTATCCACAACTCTATGGACTTTGGTCAGGGTCACAACCAACCAGCTCAAGACTAAGGCCAGGATCTAAAGAATCCTGAAGACAAGGGTAAGTCTGGCTTATTAGATTTCTTCCCCAAATTTCCTCCCAAACCATGCTACAGCACTCTCCAGGGTCTTAGGTGGAAGTCTTTCCTATCACCTGCCACCTGACCCTTTTAACTGGAGATGCCAAAGACTAAACCTGGGACTTACTGAAAGCAGAGTAGACGCTCTACCACCAAGCCATGGCTTATCCCCTTAACTTAATCAAAGTATGGTTTATGAACTGAGGTTTACCATAATATCTGAATGCAGCTAGCCTATATATATCAAATAACTTTATGGAGCCCAAGTATGTGTTTTAAAAGCAGAAGGAATTTTTTTTTTTAAAAAAAAGAATCTTCTGGTCACCTTGAGCGGATGTTACCAGTTCAAGCTCATCGTAGGCTTCACACATCCGTTTCACAACATCGATTTGTTCCAGCGTGAGCCGCACGGCATCTTTGTTCTGGGCATCGCAGAGGATGTACAGGGTCCAAAACTGAAGGAGACATTGATGAAAACTATCTATTGTTTGTTTCATTACAGGATTTAACACCCTACTTTCCCGCTATAAAAAGTTTTCAGAGCAGCTTAGAAATACATTTTAAAAATGAACGTCAATAATAAAGGCAGCTAAGAATGTTGATGTATGCATGCATCTACATAAAACAGCAGGAAAATATGAAAGCAGTAATGGCCCCAAATGATTTAATTACTGCTAAAAGCCTGGTAAAACCATAGTCTTTCCCAGCATTTAAATACAGTTAAATACAGGAGCTGTGGTGGCTCAAGTGGTTAAGACGCTGAACTGCAGGTTGTGGAAGGTCGGTAGTTCAGCAGTTCGAGACCCAACTTGCCGCATGATGGAGTGAGCTCCCGTCTCTAGTTCCAGCTCCTGCCAACCTAGCAGTTCGAAAGCAAGAAATTGCAAGTAGATAAATAGGGACCACTTCGGTGGGAAGGTAACAGCGTTCCGTGTGCCTTGGTGTTTAGTCCTGCCGGCCACATGACCACGGAAACGTCTTCGGACAGCGCTGGCTCTTCGGCTTTGAAACGGAGATGAGCACCGCAACCCTAGAGTCAGACTCGACTGGCTTTCAAGCAAGGGAACCTTTACCTTTTACAAGTAATCTGTACTGGTAAATAGCAATCGGGGTAGGGTTGGCAACTTTGGGATGGGAAATTCCTGGGGATTTGGGGATGGACCCTGACAAGGTCCTTAGTGGCTATAATGCCACAGAGGACCCTGACAAGGTCCTTAGTGGCTATAATGCCACAGAGGAGAAGAGATTGGATTTCTATCCTGCCCTTCACTACTTGAAGGAGTCTCAGAGCAGCTTACAATCTCCTTTCCCTTCCCCTCCCCACGACACCCTGTGAGGTAGGTGGGGCTGAGAGAGCTCTGAGAGAACTGTTCGTGAGAGAACAGCTCTGAAAGAACTTATGACTGACCCAAGGTCACACCAGCAGCTTAGGGTTGCCATATCGCAGCGGGGGATCGTAGGTCTTCCCAGAATCCTTGCTGCAGGGACAGCAAGACGCGACGCATAGTGTCATGTCCTGGCGACGGCGGTGCAACGTGTCTCGCCGCCCCCGCGGCAAGGATTCTGCAAAGACATGCAGATCCCCTGCCGTGATTTGGCGAGATTTGGCAGGTCTACAGCTGTATGTAGAGGAGTGGGGAATCAAACCTGGTTCTCCCAGATTAGAGTCAAAACTCCTAACCAGTACACCAAACAGAGTTCACCCTATGCAGCCATTTCCTCCAGGGAAACTGATTTTTGTAGTCTGGATATCTGTTGTAATTCTGGGACAACTCCAGGCTGCACTTGGAGGTTGGTAACCCTTGGCGGACCTGTACAATATTCCTGTTTGGACATGGTGTGTGTGTGTGGGGGGGGGGGGGAGTAAAAGAAATGGTAAAAGTAAAAATGATATATTTTTCTTTCCCAGCCTTTCAGGCAGCTTCTCCTCCCACTGGTATTCATGGATAGCTCAGCTGTTCTTCCTCTACCAAATTCCCTTTTTGGCTTTGTTATTTGAAAAAACAACCCACAATTCTCCAGGGTTCCTTTTCACACTTGGTGCCCCAGACTAGCTGAATGTATTCCTAATCAGTTCCTTCAGAGGAGTGGGAGGAATGAGGACTGGAGGCTTTAATGAGAAATTTTTTTTCTTGGTTAAAAAGTGTACTCTTTAAAAAAAAAAAAAAAGCTTCATGATCCGCATATAAATGGAGTTTAATGACCCATCACATTGGATCCCCAGGTCCCACCTGGAGGTTGGCAAGCCTGTTTGGGGGCAGAGGATTCAGATGAGGGCTACAACACAATAAGAGGAGATGAGATAAGGGTTAACTGTTGCCGTTACGGCCAAGGAAATCGTTTTGGCTGGCTTGCTGCAGTTATATCTGGGAATTATTTCTTAATATATAAAGGTAAAGGTTCCCTTGCTCGAAAGCCAGTTGAATCCGACTCCGTTTCAAAGCCGAAGAGCCAGTGCTGTCCGAAGACGTTTCCGTGGTCATGTGGCCGGCATGACTAAACACCAAGGTGCACGGAACGCTCTTACCTTCCCACTGAAGTGGTACCTATTTATCTACTTGCAATTTCTTGCTTTCGAACTGCTAAGTTGACAGGAGCTGGAACTAGAGACAGGAGCTCACTCCGTCTTGCAGCACCTGGGTCTCGAACTGCTGAACTACTGACCTTCCACAGCCTGCAGTTCAGCGTCTTAACCACTTGAGCCACCGCAGCTCCTTTCTTAATAATGAATGAATTTTATTGTTACAGCGCATAGCCAGCAATTAGTCCTTTCTTAAGATATAGAGACTAGTTTATTAACACCATAGAATGCATCTGCCCTAGTTAGGTTTATTTAATGAAAAAATGTATGCACTGACTCTCCAGACAACCTGTTCAAGGCAACTCAGAAAGTCAAACATACAGAATCACAATAGATCATATATTATTAAAATTAACAAAACTACTAAAACTCCAACCATTAGAAACAGCATAAAATATTTGGCAGCATTTATTTTATTTTTAATTTCTTTGTTGCTAGCCCTGTCTTTCTCAACAAGACTCAAGGATGATTACAAAACCTAAAAGACCAATCAGACATCACAGGCATCCAATAAAAAAGTGTAGTTGGACTAGGATTATAGAACTGGAAAACAACGCAGACAAACAAACAAACTTGTCTAATGTTTTTCCGTAGAGTGCTTCCTAGAGCTACCCACTGTCAGTTCCAAGTTAGATAAGGAAGTAGACCTAGCAGTGGCAGCCACCATGCAACTGGGACCAGCCCAGTGCTGGAGGCCAGCATGCAACTGGGACTGCCCCTGCACTAGAGGCTACAGAGCAAGTCAGCCAAAGTTTTCCTGGGAAGCTGCTGCCTTGGGTAGGGAAGGAGAGAGAGCTGAAGACAGGGATAGGAAGAGGGTAGATTGGCTGGTAAGTGGGAAGGAGAAAAGGAAGCAGGAGAAGGAAAAAGGCTATGGGGACTGCCAAGGAAGGGAAATGAGATGGCCCACGCAAATCCTTGCAGGTGCCCACTTGTTCCTAGGGTTGCCAGTTCTGAGTGGGGAAATACCTGGAGACTTGGGGTGGAGGCTGGAGAGGGTGGGTTTAGGGAGCGGAGGGATCTCAGCAGGTACAATGCCCTATAGCCCACCCTCCAAAGCAGCCATTTTCTCCAGGAGAACTGATCTCTGCTATCCGGAGATTAATTATAATAGTGGGAGATCTCCAGGCCCCGTCGTGACTCTGGAAAACCTAAGCAACCCCCCTGGGCTGTACGATTATTCTACAGTTCTAACCCCTTGATAAAAGATGTGCCCCATTCAGGGTCCGGCGCTCTAGGCGAATGCCTAGTTCGCCTAGTGGGTGAGCCGCCCTGAATCCCCTATAGCCCACCCTCCAAAGGAGCCATTTTCTCCAGGAGAACTGATCTCTGCTATCCGGAGATTAATTATAATACTGGGAGATCTCCAGGCCCCGTCGTGACTCTGGAAAACCTAAGCAACCCCCCTGGGCTGTACGATTATTCTACAGTTCTAACCCCTTGATAAAAGATACATTCTGCAAAATGATAGAAGTGCCGGAGTGTCATAAGCTTAGTGAGGACAGCCTAGTCCAAACCCACGAATGATTTCCCCTAAGGGCTTTAACACATAGGTTGACCAGCATGGAGGATAAGACTGAGCCTTGTGGAATCCAACTATGCATCAATTCAGTAATCAGGACAGACAAGGATCCACAACACAGATCCCAGGAACCTGTCAGCATCCATTGCAGTAGTTGGATCAAAATGATCCCTAACTGAACCAGAGGGTGCATCAGACATTTCTAGTGTCTCAGCTATATTACATCCAGTATCCATATGAGAGTGTATAGGAGAGGTTTTCTTAGCAAAAAGCTTTGCAAAAATGTCACAACCAATCACCAGTTCCTAGGCATTTAAAGACTCATGCTTTGGCGTCAACAAGTGCAGCAATACTTTAAACAAGCAAGCTGGGTGTGCGCTAGCTGATGACGTGGTGGCAGTGACATAGGATTTCTTTGCTGCTCTTACCACTGCCTCACAGGTCTTCCAGTGAGCCCTGTAGCACACTCTGTCAGATTCAGCTTGGGTTGTCCATCAGTGCTGTTCTAGGTGTCTCCAACTCACCCAGCTCCATAAGAAACAAAGGTGCTGGATTCCACCTCAAGGGTGGGAATGGTTGTGAGGTGGCAACCATGTTGATAGTTTCCAAATGCTTCTCATTCCAGGCTCCTACTGCGGCCTCAACAGAGCTGTTAGTCTTAAAACCTGCAAGGAAATTCTGGAAACCAGTGGGATCCGTTAGTCCCCGTTAGGGTTGCCAGGTCTGGGCTGGAAAATACCTGGAGACTTTGTGAGGTAGATCTGGGAGAGGGCGGGGTTTAGGGAGGGGAGGGGCCTCAGCATGGTGCAATGTCATAGAGTCCACCCTTCAAAGCAGCCATTTTCTCCAGGGGAGCTGATCTCTGGTCAGCTGGAGATCAGTTGTAAAAGCAGGAGATCTCCAGGCCCCACCTAGAGGCTGGCAACCCTAGTCTCCATGGGTAGACCATTTCAATCGACCATGCATTCCTGCAGCGGTCTGGTGCCACATACCTTGAGGAGGTGGTCCTCGGACCTTGGCACAGGCTGCAGCTTCAGCCCACAGACCAGACCTTCCCTCAAAGATTCAGTTTAAAAAATTACATGCAAGATATGTCCTGTAGTTGTGCATAGAGCCCGTGGTAGCCAGCGAGGCTCTGAAATCCTGAGCCAACCCAGACAATGGTGCTGTTAGCATGAAGTTGAAATCACCCCGAGCAATGAGTTTGGGTGTCTCAGGCAACATCCTCAAGATTACTTCTGTTAGGTCAGACAGGGCGCCTGGCAGGGAACTAGGCAGAACCAGGCAGCTGTTGAATAAGGAGAATGTCCCTGGAACCTAACATAAGGGAGAGACAATCAGGACCAGCTATTGTTTGCACCAGGAATCCGAAAGACTCGTAGAGAATGTCAGCTACCCCCCCCCCCACAGCTACCTCCAGCGGGGGGTTGATGAAAGATCCCATAACCAGGCAGCATTAACGAAGACAGATACACCACCTCGTTTTCTTCCAACCTGGTCTCGGTCACACAAGCCAGATCGATTTTCCTCTCCAGCAACCCAGACAGGAGTGCGCCTTTATTCCTCACCGATCTGCTGTTGCACAGTAATAGTGAAGAAGTGGAGGCAGTAGGCACACCTGGCATCAACATCTTTCAGGATGGGATGGAAGTTAGGTAAACAGCCAGCTTGGTTATGCCTCTCCATTCAACTTTCAACCGCCTGCTCCCACCTCAGTATCTACCAGCTCCTTTATCAAACACCCTACGGCAGTAAAGAGCAGCCAGCAGTACAACTAGGAAGCCCACCGCATTTGACATCTGCGGACACTGAAGAAATCATAAAGCAGGCTAGAAATGCGTTAGTGATGACCCAAAGCTCATCGCCCACTCAAACAACAGCCCTGTTTGCAATATACAATCGGATTCTTTCTGTTCTCAGGTTAGAATAATAGAGCAATAAAAGCAATTTTAGAAAAACCAAAGGCCCTTAGCAAAAAGCCTGGCACCCAAGACTTGTTTTGGCCTGGCACCCAAAAAAGAGTAGGATGGATGCCAGGCGAGTGAGGCACAGGGTCATCACCAGAGAACCTGTCTTCTTCAAGGGGCACATCTTGATGGGTCTCATATCAAGGAGGAGGGGAGGCATTTTCAATCCCAGCCCACAATTCAGAAACGCCAGCTGCTCCGATCCACTCTGGTTTCTCATTTCAAACCCAATGGCTGATGGACAGGCTTCCTCTAACAAATATGAGGGTATTATGGATGCCAGCCTCCAGGTGGGACCTGGGGATCTCCTAGGGTTGCCAAATGGGCCCGGAGGGCGGGGAATCCCCCGCTTCGGAGGCCCAATTTCCGCCGTGGCGGAATTGGGCCCCGGGGGGGACCTCGCCCCCGAAGCTGCATCACCAGAGGTGACGCAGCCACGTTGCTGACGTTGGGGGCATGAGCTCGGCTACACCCCCAACGTCAGCAACGTTGCACATCACTTCTGGGGAAAATACATAAATATAAATAAACAACATCCATTCAGGTTTGCAGACTGAGTTTCCAACCCACACCACCTACCTGAGCACCAACATGGCTGGCTTGCAGCTTGTTAATATTTGTGACGGTGGTGTCGAGGGTCCTGAGGTCAACCTTACTCAGACGGTTGCTGTACAGCCATCTCAGCTTCAGTGGCAGATCATTGTGACTGGAGGGCAGAAAGACAGAACAACCTCACCATGTAGAAGAGAGCTGGATTTATACCCTGCCCTTCATTCCGAGTCTCAGAGCGGCTTACAATCACCTTCCCTTCCCAGGCCCGTAGCAAGGATTTTTTAAGTCGGGGGGCATTTAAATTTCTTAAGGAGCACTGGCTAATCAAATTAATGTAATTTAATTAAGTTTCTGGGGGAAATACAGAGGTGCTGCCTGGTTCCCTGCGGCCACCACAGCCAGCCCTTCATGCCAGACAGCTGCGCAGGAATACCCGGCTCCTTTCCCACACCTGCCGCCGCTTGGGGGGCCTAGGCTGAATGGGAAGGTGTGGGGCCTTGCCAGTAAGTCGGGGGGCCTAGCCCCAAGATACCCCACTGTAGCTACGGGCCTGTCCCTTCCTCTCCCCACAACAGACACCCTGTGAGGTAGGTGGGGCTGAGAGAGCTGTTCTTGAGAGAACAGCTCTGAGGGAACAAGAGTTGGATTTATACCCTGCCCTTCACAGTTTGGTGTAGTGGTTAAGTGCACGGACTCTAATCTGGGAGAACCAGGTTTGATTCCCCACTCCTCCACTTGCACCTGGCTGGATGACCTTGAGCACCTGGCTGGATGACCTTGACCCACCTGGGTTCTGGCACAGCTGTTCTTGAAAAAGAGCAGTTTCTGTCATAGCCCTCTCAGCCCCACCTACCTCACAGGGTGTCTGTTGTGGGGAGGGGAAGGAGTTTGTAAGCCGTTCTGAGACTCCCTTGGGTAGTGAAGGGCAGGGTATAAATCCAATCTCTTCTTCTTCACTTGGAGTCTCAGAACAGCTTACAATCTCCTTCCCTTCCTCTCCCCACAACAGACATCCTGGGAGGTAGGTGGGGGCTGAGAGAGCTCTGAGAGAACTGCTCATGAGAGGACAGCTCTGAGAAAACTGTGACTGACCCAAGGTCACCCAGCTGGCTGCATGTGGAGGAGTGGGGAATCAAACCTGGTTCTCCAGATTAGAGTCTGCTGCTCTTCACAACTACACCAAACTAGCTCTCAGACCACCTTTCACCCAACGGAAGCATGTTCCCAATATGGGGTTTCACTCTATTGTCTTTTTAGATGAGAAGAAAGCATTTATGTATGTCAGTGCTGTCAAGCTGCAACCCGCTTATAGCAACCACAGCAAAAGGCTTCCAAGGCAAGTGAGAAGCAGAGGTGGTTTGCCATGGCCTTCCCGTACAAGTACTGATCTTGCTTAGCTTCTGAGATCTGATGAGCCTGGGCTATTCCATGCCACCTTCCCTCTCCAGGAACATCTCCAGGGGACATCAAAAGAGGTTCTCCATTCAACCTCAGCTCTAGCTATTTTCTTTAGCTGTTTCTTGTCCTGCCCCAAATCCAAAACTGTGCCAAAACCCAAACACCTGGATTCAGAAAGCAAATAGACAAGCTAGAGAAGGTTTGTATGCTTCTTTGAATGCAGAGAATGAAGGCATCTGGGTTCAAAATACAATGCTTTGAAGCACAATACAACGTAGATGATGTCCAGGCTTGGCTACATGCCCCTGGGGCAAAGTCAGGTTCATAAAGGGTGGGGTCACCATCAGCAGCAAGGGTGGTCATGCTCTGCTACCTGCAAGCTGCAGAACTTTGAATCATGAAGACAGCATGGACTCTTAATGAGCTATTAAGCACAGGGACAAGAACCCACAGATCCAGCCTGGCCCTACCCCCCCCCCCTCACAGGAGTTGTAAGGGATGTTTCTTAAAGTGCCCATTTTGCACACATATGGAATCTGGCAGTTATCTAACAAGCATCTGTAGTTTCCTGGGGGGTCCTCTGTTGGGTCTCCAGCAAATGGGAGTTGGTCCCAATGACCTTGGAGACTGCTGGGAAGGCAGGTCTTGTAGATTTCCAGCTACGTAACGTAGAGCACTGGGGTTCAGGTCCAGAGCTTCTGCTTCCACCAAACCTTCCCTGGGCAGGGATAGTTTGGCCAGGCTGTATAAGCTCAGGCTACCAAGCCCCAGGTGGGGGCAGGGAATCCCCCACCCCTGGGTCCTGTTGCATGGCAGGAGAAAAATTTAAGGAAGAAAAATAAGGCCTCCTCCTCTTACAAGAAGGCCTCACCATAGAGTTCCTGGTGGTTCCTAGAGCTACCCAGAAGTAAAAAAGGGTAGCTCTAGGAATCACTGGCTACTCTGTTGTAATATCTTCCTGTAAGTAGATGAGACCTTATTTGTCTTTTTAAATTTTTCTCCCAGGATGATGCCCTGCCCACAACCCTCCCCTACTGGTCGCCAGGCACTGCCCGGTAACCCTAAAGGCCTGGCCTAGAGAACTCCCCATCTGAGTCAGCACCTGGCTCTCTGGGTGCAGCTATGACCATGGTAGCTAAAACACGCTTGCAAGATGCTTTTCTGTATTTGAGAGAGGAGATAAGCCATTTGTACATACCCATCAATTAAACGGGTTTCTTGCATGAGCTCAATTGCCCTCTCGTTGTCAGACCTGCAACTGTGAAGAACATCAAAAAGGAGTAGCAACAGCTGCAGGAGTGACTTCGGCAGAACCCTCTTGGAGTTCACAAGCATCTTCACAGGATGGAGATGTTCATAAGCTGGCAAATGGAGGCTGATGTTTAGACACACCTGCTGGCTTTATCCCTCTTGCTGGTTTCACATTAAAAATAACAAAAACAACAAAGGGGGGGGCTACACTAACTCTAAAGTAGGGATGTCTTCTCAGTCCACAGCCTTGTTTGTAGACAAAAAATTTTATGCTGGCTCTCACCATACAAGCTAGCATAGCAAGGACACCTGGAATTGGATGTCTTATATATTCCATCCACCACTGTCAGGCCCTTCTGATCTTCCCACACAGAAGGTACATTGAGGTCCCGTTTTCCAGTCCCTTCTGAAAGCCTCTCTCCTACTCCCTTATCAGAACTGGCATGCGGCCCGCCATCTATTTATATAAAAGTTGCACAGGACGTTCATATGTGAGGCCTCAGATAAGCTGTCCTTCCAAGGAAGAGTGGGGTTGAGGGAGGAGCGAGTCCTGATAAGCTTGAGGTGAATTAGGCTAGACTACTTCAGTGTACTCTACTCAGCGCTGCCCTCAGAAGCTTCTACTCCTCTCCTGGTGGAGATAATTTAGTTGCAGTGTTTATCTCAGGAGAACATATGGCTGTGCTTACTGGCGACTGAAGAGAAGGTGAAGAAGGAGCCACTCTGTTTCATTAATGTCTATTCCCTCACATTTCAGGACATGAGACCAAGGAGATGGAGTAATGCTAGTCCTGGATTCTGTGAACAAACCTGTTTGGTTTTTTAAAAAAATCACATCATCATCAAGACTAACATTTCAATGTAGTCAAAAAGCCAGATGTTAAGAGTGCAGAGTTACTCTCTCTTAAGCCCATGGAAGTCAATGGGCTTAGATGGGTGTAATTGTGCTTAGCGTTGCACTGCAAAGATGGGGGCACTGAATTAGCAACAGAGAGACAGACTCCCCACCACAGCAAATACCTGACCAGACCAAGATGTGAACTCCTCTCTTCCAAGTCCAAAGGGGCATCCAAATGTTTTCAGTAGTGGGCCACGACGCATGATCAACGGGACTCTGTGCCAAGCATCTGTTCCCTGATCTTATATGCTCAATAACTCCCACATGGCAACATTGTCACCGTATGTCCCATGGCTGTTTTGACACATGTTGGATAATGCACTTTCAGCACACAAAAAACCCACTTGCAAACAATTGCTAAAGTGCACTGAAATATGCGTGACAGCAGCCATGTTGAGTGGGGTCCACACTTGGTGTACCAGTATTGGACGTGACTCAAATGTGAGCTGAGGGTGCTGGAGGCTTCATACTAGCTTTCCTTTACTCAATAATTCTTCATAATGGCCCAGTTCTGTTATGTAATTATCATGGGATTAAACTTGAACAGCTAAAAACCTCAGGTGGGCCATCTCATTTGGCCTGCAGGCTATGCGTTGGATGCCCTTGGTGTCATATAACAATAAGACAATATCCTGTGATACATGAGTGGAGCCTGCTTTCCTCGGAAACACAGAAAGAGAACAAGTTTCTTGGGGGTTATTTATGTGATCTCTGCTTTAATGGACCTGCAGAGCCATCTGTCCCCAGCCACCAACGGCTGTGGTCTTTTGTCTGCCACCTGCTAATTGTTCCTGTTTAAGGTGACCTGAGCCGGTGCTTTTTCTACAGTGACTCCCACGTAGTGGAATGGACTCCCCAAGGAGGTGGGGGGGCACCTTCAGAAGTTTTTAAGGGGTGCTGTAGATGCTGTAGGTCATTTTATTTGTGAGGGGTTTTAATGGGGTTTAAGCTGCAGATGTTTTCTTGGGGTTGGGTTATGTGATTTCATGGTATTTTGTATGTTTTTTAATCTTGGAATTGTTAGCTGCCCTGAACCACAACAGAAAGTTAGGGTTTAAATATTTCAGTTTATAAATAAAGGCATAAATAAAATCATGCCAGACCTGGAACAGAATAGAGGATTAGTTACGTAATTTACAGGGTGCTGCACCCCTCCTGTTCCACCCCCTACATTACAGAACTCTTGCCGCAACGTTCAGTATGAACTGTTCAAAATGTTAATCTTATCTCAAGCACAGGTTGTCTTGGGTCATTAATGGTATGAAATGTTACAAGATGGCATCTTCCCTTAAAACACCTGCAACTTGCAGGATTCGGTATTAAAACAAATCCAAAGCCCTTTGCTTCTGTTTAAGAAGATTGGAAAGCTACTTTGTTAAAAAGGTCGTATTCAGTTTTTATCATAATCACATTTACCCCTGTTCTTGGAACTGAGTGGGGATCTTATTTTTCACTTTCCCCCCTGTTTTGTTTTCTTTTATTGCTTAGTTCTGGGGAAAGTTGCCAAACTGTACCCATGAAACCGTCCCATGAACTTTGCAACAGATGTGCTTCCGTCTGGGTTTATCTCCAGGAAGGATCACACACCCCTGTTGTTCTGCAGAATATGTAAAATGGAACTGTTCAGGAGGGCACTTTTATGAAGCCAATGAGTTTGCAGGTAACCTTCAGAGAATTTAAAGTAGTCTTCATTGTGCATATTGGGCAGTTTCGTTGATTTCCCCCCCGCAGTGTTCGCGAATTTTGTACCCCAATTTTATTACTCTGTCTATTACTTCTGTTTAAGAAGATTGGAAAGCTACTTTGTTAAAAAGGTCGTATTCAGTTTTTATCGTACCCCTGTTCTTAGAACTGAGTGGGGATCTTATTTTTCACTTTTCCCCCTGTTTTGTTTTCTTTTATTGCTTAGTTCTGGGGAAAGTTGCCAAACTGTACCCATGAAACCATCCCATGAACTTTGCAACAGATGTGTTTCCGTCTGGGTTTATCTCCAGGAAGGATCACACACCCCTGTTGTTCTGCAGAATATGTAAAATGGAACTGTTCAGGAGGGCACTCTTATGAAGCCAATGAGTTTGTAGGTAACCTTCAGAGAATTTAAAGTAGTTTCGTTGTGCATATTGTGCAGTTTCGTTGATTTCCCCCCGCAGTGTTCTCGAATGTTGTAACCCAATTTTATTACTCTGTCTATCATGTGTAACATTGCACTACATTTGTGAACAGGGAAGGAATTGTTCCACCTTCTCTGGCCACACAACCCTGATTCATATATCCTCTCCCCCCACTCCCAGTGTGTGTGTATGATATAGGGTTGCCAGCCTCCAAGTAGCACCTGGAGATCTAGAATTACAACTGCTCTCCAGACTACAGAGATCAGTTCTCCTGGAGAGAATGGCAGCTTTGGAGGCGGGACTCTGTGGCATGTATACCCTATTGAGGCCCCTCCCCTCCCCAAACCCCATCCTCTCCAGGCTCCACCTCAAATATCCAGTAATTTCCCAACCTGGAATTAGCAACCCTAAGTCTTGCCTTATATAGGCTGGTCCTGCATTGGGCAGGGGGCTGGACTAGATGGTCTGTATGGCCCCTTCCAACTCTGTGATTGTATGATTCTATGATATAGCATGGCCTCTAAGGCCTAACTATGTTTTACACTGGCTGTGGTCCACTCTGTGTCCATCGCAGGTCCTGTCAAGCGGGAGTTCCCTGTGAAACTTACAATCTTCAGGCAGGTAACAGTCCAATTCAGACTGGGAAATGAACACACATGAACACACATGAACACACATGAAGCTGCCATATACTGAAGCAGACCCTTCGTCCATCAAAGTCAGTATTGTCTACTCAAACTAGCAGCAGCTCTCCAGGGTTTCAGGAAGAGGTCTTTCACATCACCTCCTCTTACCTGCAGTTCATGGGTTGAGAGGGCTTCAGCTTCCCCCCGCAAAACAGCCACAGTGATTTACTAGGAACGTTCACCAGCAAGACACACCAACCTAGCCCTGATCCCACAGTCAGAAGAGTGACCATCAGTCAAATAATACAGAAAATTGGGAAAGGAATCTTGTTGCCTGGGATAGGTTTGCTGGGGTGGGAAACATGTTTGCTCTTTGTTCTTCCCATTAAAAAAAATAAAGAGTGCAGAAGTAGAGGAGAGAGTACCTTGTAAGCAACTTTTCAAAGAAGTAAGACATCACTTTCAAAGTATTAAAACTGGGCACCCATTAGAAATATCACGGGTATTATCCAATCAAGTTACAGTTTCTTCATGACTACTTTATTTTGATTCTTGCCTGCCAGCCCAGTCTTACAATTGTTCCAGACAGCATTCCAGCTGTTTCCCAACTGTGTGCTCTGCGCTCATGTCACAATAAGGATAAATATATTTCCGCACTACATGGCACGCACAGAGCTTCATGCTGTTATTTGTGCCTGCTAAACATCTGTGTCGATCCAAAGAGAGAAAAAATGTGAAGGAAGCGCCTTAGAATATATCATTTTCATAACAGAGCATCATTACAGATGGTGTTTTCAAGGTGCACATATTGGAAGGTTACTGGGCCATATCTTTAAAAGCTTTTAAAAATTTATTTGCTTACATACTTCATTCACAGCCCATTCTTCTCACTGAGACTCAATGTGGATTACAATTTTAAAAAAAGAAATGAAGATGAGCCCCACTGTGTTCTGCGCAACCAGAAGCTTCCAGGGGAAGTCCAATGCGCAAAACGTTATGGCAGCCTAGCCTAGTCAGAAATGGCTCCTCTCTCAGCACTACCTTTCTGGAGATGAAAGCTCACTTGAGGACTCCTACATAAACAACTGAGCATTTATATAAATAGTATTGTGGGATGGAAGCTATTTTCTGACAAGGAGGGAGAGGGACTCTTTTTCAAAGGGGCTTTGCTGTGCTTCTTTAAAATGGGATCTCGGTGTGCTTTCTATGTGGGAAGGAGGCATCTTGGTGATGAACAAGTGATATAAGACTGATGTTACTGGAGCTGCATATCTTTCTAAGTTTCAGCCAAACCATGTTGTCTGCAAATAAGCCTGCAGACTGAGAAGGCTTCCCTACTTGGGGTCAGTGTACTTCCCACCCCCATACACAATTTATTATTTCCGGGCATTAACCTTGAGAGATCAAAGCATCAGCTGTAACTTAACTCCAGCGTCTGCCTACTGACTTAGGAACTTCTCCATCCTCTCAGCATGCTTGTGGACTCCAAGAGGGTTCTGCCGAAGTTGCTTCTGTGGCTGTTGGTACTCCTTTTTGATGTTTTTCGGAGTTGTAGGTCTGACAACGAGAAGGCGACTGAGCTCATGATGCGGGCCCGCATGATCGACGGGTATGTAAAAATGTCTTGGCGTCTCTCACAAATACATCTGGATCGAGACACCCCCCCCCTTAGAACTCAGATGCATTCAAACTCTGCACATGAATGAATTATAGAATGTTGGTGGTTCTGCCCCCTAATAAAGGAATACTGGGATCAAATAATTAAACAAATTGCAATAATAACAATTATACACTTACCGTGTAGCTTGGAATCCATCTTCTTGGAACCTTGGCGTCCATCTACAAGTAATAATAGCCCAGAAATGTTAATATCCACTTTATTGACCCTAGCAAAAACAGCTATTACACAAAAATGGAAACAAAAGACTATCCCCACCTTATGTGGTTGGCAAAAGAAAATTTGGGAATGTTTTATTTATGGGCGCACCACTTACAACACATCAGCTCTGCAGTCAGTTAAATATCAAAAGTGGTTCCAGGCGGTTTGGTTCACCATGATTAGTTACTTAGAAAACAGTGGGATAATTCCAAACAATCTGGTATATAGAAACTTGCTTTTCTTTTGAATGTGAGATAATTCAACAGTGTTTCAAGGCTCACAAAGTAGCTTGACTGCACTCTAGCAGATACTCTTGTGTGAGGATATGTTAGATCTGTTATGTAAGTGTACGACCCCCCCCCCCTTGGTTACCTTCTTGTGTGTTTACTGTTGTTGAAAACAATATTGTAAAATTAAAAATTAATAAAAATTTTAAATAATTTTTAAAAAGGTCTGTGCAGCACCTGGCACATGGTGGGGAGAGACTCAACCCGGCCAGAGCCCTTCTTTTTGCCCTGCTCCGTCCCCAGCAGTTTGGACTGGCGGCAGTCGCCAACAGTTGTGCAGCCTGGATTGGGCTAAGCAGCCTGCCCCAGGGTATGCCAGCCAGCTGCTGCTGTGTGTCACCAGCTGAAGCCTGGAGGAGTCAGCCAGTGGGACTCAGCAGAGGAGGACAGTGGTCGCTGCTGTCCAACCAAAGCAGCCCCAGGGCAAAGGTAACAGGCAGCCGGCACAGCCAGAGGCACTGGGGAAAGCACAGCTTGCTGGTCAGGCTGCTGCCCCTAGCTGGGACTCTCCTCCTGCCGTGAGCTTTGTCCCCAGAATAAACCCCCCCATCCCAAATTTCAACGGGGGAGGGGAGGATAGGTCCTGCTCATCCACCTGACCACCCACAGCCAGTGCCGCAGCCTCAGCGGATGTTTCGACCCCTTTGGGGACAAGGTATCTCCCCCTGCCATCCTGTATGCCTTCAGTGGTGGGCAGGGAAAAGGCCCCTGCAGGATCCCAAGAGCCCTGTGCAGCCATCTCTCCTCCCAGCCCCAGGCTCAGCCGTACTGGCGATAGGGGACGTCGCACCATCCTTCCCCTCGTCGGACATGCTGCCAGGCTTGCCATGGCTCCCGGCCGCCCCTCTACTTCAGCGTCAGCAATGGTGATTGCCTGCCAAAAAAGGAGGGGGTAGATGCGTTGTCTGCCCATGTGCAGAAAATGCTTTTATTTTGAGGGAAGATTTTTTTAAAGCCGTGTAATTTTTTTTTTTTACAATTTTCAGATTTTTTTTCTTTCAAACCTGGGTTTCCCCCACGTCTGGAGAAGAATATCCTTTCTCTCAGTGTGGGCCTGATCCACAGATTTAGATCTCCTCAGATTGCTGGCATGATAAATAGATATATAGATTACTGTCCTATACCCGTTTTACATAGGGGCCGTGGTGGCTCAGGAGTTAAGATGCTGAGCTGCAGACTGGAAGGTCTGTAGTTTGGCAGTTCAAGACCCGAGTGCTGTGTGATGGAGTGAGCTCTCATCTCTGGCCCCAGCTCCTGCCAACCTAGCAGTTCGAAAGGAAGAAATTGCAAGTAGATAAATAGGTACCGCCAGGGGTCGTTTCGTAGAAAAAGAGCTAGGGGAACTCATTAGCATATGCCACACCCCCTGACATCAGGGGCCCGGCAGTGGACCTGCAAGGCCAGCGGGAGTGCGAGGAAGCCCGGCCAAGGCCCTCCCTGGCCCTAGGCAGGCAGGGGTGGGAAGAGGCGGGGAGGAAGCAACTTGCCCTCCCTCTTCTCCTGCCTCCTCCTGGCTGAATGAGGGCCAGAAGCGGGGCAGCCGGAAGCAGGGGGCGGGGCTTCATCATGTGCCCCGCCCCCTGCACCTCATCCAGGGGAACTGCGATCCCCCCTGAATCGACGTTTGGGTACCGCTTCAGTGGGAAGGTAACAGCGTTCTGTGCGCCTCGGCATTTAGTCATGGAGAAATCTTAGGACAGCGCTGGCTCTTCGGCTTGGAAACAGAGATGAGGAAGGGAAACCTTTACCTTTACTTTTTACCCATTTTACACACGCCTTATCTGGCTTTGCCATCTCTTTTCCAAATCCAAGTATTCAGGTATGGAACCGTTTTTGGATTCAGGGCAAAGAAGTAGCCTAGAGATTGTTCTCATATCCTCTCTGTATTATATCTGTCTGCTCTCGATCAGAGCCCGAGTTGAGGATAGCCAGGCCTCCCTAGGGCCAGGGCTCACCAGCAAGTGATCAGCAAGTTGTTGTCAGTAGGATTGGCCATGGTTAGTACTTGGATGGGAGACTACCAAGGAGGTCCAGGGTTGCTATGCAGAGGCAGGCAATGGCAAACTGCTCTTTCCTTGCTTAAGTTGTTGGCACTTAATTATTATTCATTATTGTCGTCATGCAAAAAAAGAAAGAAGAAGATTGGATCAAATCCAGACTTGAGAATAGGTTGCAACTTGATGGCACTTAATTATTATTCATTATTGTCGCCATGCAAAAAAAAGAAGAAGAAGAAGATTGGATCAACCACACAGTGAACAATACAATATCGGGGGGGGGGACGTGCGGAAAGACACTAAGATAAAGAACAGAATAAGGACAATATACAAATAAGCAACTCTTAGGTACTATTCAAATTGGAGTGGTGGTAATACATGTATAGCATCTACAAATGTTGAGCGGGCAAGTACATAATAAACATATTTAGTATTCCAACAGGTAGCATACAATGTATTTCCAGTCTTTCAACAGGTAGGTATACAAATACAGAACAAGTCCACAGTACAAGTACAAAGCAAGTCTATAGACGAAGACTCCGGATTTCAAAACTTCGTTTCGTATATTCTTCCTCAGTAGACTGGAATACTAAATATGTTTATTATGTACTTGCCTGCTCAACATTTGTAGATGCTATACATGTATTACCACCACTCCAATTTGAATAGTACCTAAGAGTTGCTTATTTGTATATTGTCCTTATTCTGTTCTTTATCTTAGTGTCTTTCCGCACGTCCCCCCCCCCGATATTGTATTGTTCACTGTGTGATCGCTTGCTGGGATGCTATGATAACCAGTATGCGAGGGAAATGGCAAAAGGGCTTCTTAGAGACGCTTTACAGGAAGACAAATGACAGAGGTGCTCGGCTGTCGGTAATGCAAATGAGAGCCATAACCAGATTTATGCCACTGCATTAAAACTATTGTTCAGGGGTGTTCCGGTGTATATTTGTTTGTTTATTGGGTCCTTGTTAGGTTTTAGAATAACAGTAAATCAGGCTTCTGCCAGATTAATTAAAGGTTGAATCTCATCGTTTATTTGATCATACAAATTTACTAAGTATGGGGAAATCTCATCCTCACAAGCAACATAAAATTTTGCGCCAAATCTGTTCTGGCCTGGCACTTTCCCTTGCTTTAATTCTACAACTGCATTCTTAACTTCTCCTATTTTAATCGGGGCTTCTAACTGTTCTCTATATTTTAGGCTATCTGGGGCAAAGATTTTTTTAAAAATGTATCTATGTCTACTGAAATAACTTTTTCATCACTATATAAATCTGCAAAAAGAGAGAGAAGATGAAGATGAAGAAGCAAATACTTCTGTGATTTCTTTGTGAAAGATCAATCTTCTTGTTTTCCAGCCAGCAATCTTACTAAAGATCTTCCATTTTTATTTCTTTTCTCAAAGATAACTTGTTTAGCATTAATCAGATCTTTCGCTACTAAATGTGCATCACACAACATTAATTTATCACAAGCAGACAGCTATTTTCGCTTATCTTCTTTCCTTGAGTTCTTGTCACAAATTTCCAAATGACTAATTTCTGTGATCATTTCCATTCTCCTTTTCTCTGTTTTTTCTTTAAGTAGCTACGTTGAAAGATTATTTGTCCTCTGAGGTATGCCCTGAAGGCTTCCCAAACTATGAGGAAGTTTCTCTCTATCATTAATTTTTAAAAGAAGTTTTCACCTCCTGTATATATTTGTGACTTATTGGGAGACTGTTGTGGGCTCTTCCGCATTCTGATTTTCATCACTTGTGTGTTCCTATTGCTTCAGAGTTTTTTTCCCCACCCAATGTGTTTTGCTGTCTCTAGTAGTCCCAGAGGGAGCAAAACACATGTCGAAAAGGGGGGGGGGACGACACAAAGCAATAGGGAAAAGCGAGTGACAAAAATGAGAATGCGGAAGAGCAATGTGTGCACACCACTCCCTAAAGGACTCAGGACGCAAAGGAACAATGCACATCATGATCAGCTTGATTAGAGAAGAGGAGAAATGCTTAGGGGCGTGTAATTTAGCATCTGTAGTGAGATAAGACTTCTGCCTCCCAATTCAGCCCTGGAGAGTTCATGCTAATTTTTGGCCCACAGTATGAGGGCACCAGATGATCTTGTTTCCCCCTCTGAAACAAGCTGTTTCATAGGGGTATAAAGAAGAAACAAGATGCCTGGCTCACAGATTTTGTGCCTGGTGCCACAGTGCAGTGGTCTCATTGCATTTTTAAGTAGCCAGTTTCATCTCTGAAACAGCATTAGTAGCCACAGGCCAGACTAGGGTTACCAGTCTCCAGGTGGGGCCTGGGGATCTCCCACTTTCACAACTGATCTCCAGCGGATCAGAGATCAGCTACCCTGGAGAAAATGGCTGCTTTCAAGGGCGGACGCTATGGCATCGTACCATGCCAAAGCCCCTCCCCTCCCCAAATCCCACCCTCTCCGCCGATGCCTCCGTCGCCTGGCTGGAGTGGCCGCGGGGGAGTCTGGAGTCGGGCGGCCGCTGGTGGGAGCCGCGGGTGCCCGGGCCGAGATTGGGGGGGCAAGGCGGGCGACAGAAGGCCGATGCCTCCGTCGCCCGGCCCTCTACAGAATCCACCCCCCAAACCTCCAGGTATTTCCCTCCTTAGAGCTGGCAACCCTACATTCCCCTCAGTGCCTGTTGGTAGGCAACTAAGCTTGGTCCTGTCACCTACTTTGGCCTTTGGGAGAAAACACATTGGGGCCAATCCTGATAGGGTTGCCAACTCCAGATGGGAAATTCCTGGAGATTTGAGGGATGGAGCCTGAAGAGGGTGAGGTTTGAGGAGGGGTGGGACCTCAGACAGGTACACTGCCATAGACTCCACCCTCCAAACCAGTCAGTCCCACATAGGGAACCATTGTTGCCAATCTCCAGGTGAGGGCTGGAGAGCACTCAGTATTACAACTGCTCTGCAGAAGGGAGGGCAGAAGTCAGCTGAAGTCAAAGGGGCAGATAATGGTAGGTTGGTGGCTAGCTGGGAAGGAGATGGGGTTGCCAACTACATGCTGACAAATTCCTGGGGATTTGAGGGGTGGAGCCTGGAGAGGGTGGGGTTTGCAGAGGGGTGGGACCTCAGACAGGTAGAATGCCATAGACTCCACCCTCCAAACCAGCCATTTTGTCCTGGGTAACAATTGCTGCCAATCTCCAGGTGAGGGCTACAGATTACTCACAATTACAACTGCTCTTCAGGTAGCAGAGATCAGTTCCTCTGGAGAAAACAGTGGACTCTGTCATTATACCCTGCTGAGGTCACCACAGCAAATTGACACTGTTTGCCCAAAGCCAGAGCACTCCCCCAGAGCCTCTTTCTAGATCCCGTTGTATTGCTTTCACAACGGGCTTTACTGCTAGTAGGGGTATAAAGGGGAAACAAGATTGCCTGGTGCCACAGTGCAGTGGTCTCATTGCATTTTTAAGTAGCCAGTTTCATCTCTGAAACAGCATTGGTAACCACAGGTCAGACTAGGGTTGTGTAGTGTATCCAGCCCTGACAGGTCCGGGCATGTCCAGACTTGCACAGGGACAAAACCTCAAGCTTCGTGCCTAAAGACAATGGGTCAGTAGGATCCTAGACCGGCCCAATCAGAGGGCTAGGTCCCAGACCGTGAGGCCAATAGGCCTCTTGGTTACTGTAAATAGCCTATAGGGAAGTGGGGGTGTGTTATGGTGGTGGGTCCTGAGGGAATATAAGCCGGCCTGCGAGCCAGCCAGCTTCGTCTTGTTCCTGACTAATAAAAGTATGCTTAGCTGAAATCACTCTCCATCTGCATACTTTTCAGGTTGCCAGTCTCCAGGTGGGGCCTGGGGATCTCCCACTTTCACAACTGATCTCCAGCGGACCAGAGATCAGCTCCCCTGGAGAAAATGGCTGCTTTGAAGGGCGGACGCTATGGCATCGTACCATGCCAAAGCCCCTCCCCTCCCCAAACCCCGCCCTCTCCTGGACCCACCTCCAAAGTCTCCATGTATTTTCCAACCCAGACTTGGCAACCCGAGGTCAGACCCGTTCATGCTGTAACATCTACGTTGGCCCAGGGGGAGGATCTGAGCCTTCCTCTCCCAGATCCCAGTCAGATCTCTTTAGCTGCAAACTGAAATCTCCCTCACCCTGCTTTGCTAAACAGTCGCAGCTCTTACACAGCTGAGCTTAAAAGAGTTGCATCTCAGGCTTTATCAGTTGTTGTTTTTTTTTAAATAACTTGGCATTACGTGGAAGAATCTGCTCTGGCTTCGATCTCCACTCCCTCTGGACTAGATCTGGATCTGACAGCATGATACCTTCACACTCATGGCTGGAAACCAGCCTGTGCTGCTGTTTCCATGTAATTCCCCACCATCTGTGCAGACGGTGATTGGGAAGCAGAGTGGGCTGAAGCAGTTAGCACTTCTGAACTGTGCTCAGAAACGCAGAACAGTGCCACCGACAGCTTGGTTCCCCAGCCAAGCCAGCCAAGCAACTAAGTGAGGCAGCACACCAAGGGGACGCGGCTTGCGCCTCTCCATCTGCGGCACGGAAGGGAACGGGCACTGCCTTCCAGAGCCATGCTGCCACTGGGCAGATCCAAACTGAGCATATGGATGGTAGCTGCAGGGGTTCATTTTGCAAACCAGTCAACAGCCGCGTGGGAAGGAGCAGTCGGTATACTTCGCTTGGGAGAACAAAATACTGTGAGCCAGACCTGGCGTCTCCTTCCCCAACGCCCACCTGCCCCAATCCCTGAAATGAGTCATCAGGACGGGCCCCTAGAGAAGGAGCTCTCAACTACTTATCCCTTTGGCGGGTTAAATTTTGGAAAAACCAACAACAATAATGATTCACAGGTTTGAAAGCCCACCAGTCACTTCCCAAGGTCATGGCAGGAGGCCATAGGGTTGCCAGCTGCCTGGAGAAAATAATTCCCTGTCCCTTTAATAGAGGCTTAATGGGACATTATTTGCCAGGTGATGTAATTTACCCACAGGCCATGGAAAGATTCAGCTGCCTGTTTCTACACATTAAGCTCCTATTAGAGGGACAGGACATATTTTTCTCCAGGCCTGTTGCCAAGCCCACTTGAGGAAGAATACGTTCCACAGGTCAAAGGACTGTAAGCCTCAAGCCGCATTGAGACTCTGAGTGAGGGGCGGGGTATAAATCCACTCTCTTCTTCTACTCAGGACTACATGCGTATAGCAGCCGGGCCGGTTAGAGTGTCAGACTAGGATATGGGGAACCTAGATTTGAATCCCCTTTCTGCTGTGGAAGCTCCCTGGGTGACCTTGAGCCAGTCACTCTCTAGCAGCCTGGCCTACCTCACAGGGTGGTTGTGAAGATATGATGGAGAAGGGGAGCGCCATGGTGGAAGCTACGTTGAGTCCCCATGATTGGGAAGAAAAGCAGGGAATGAATACCTAACTATATCAATAAATGGAGTCAGGTCCCTGCCACACGGCAGAAAAAACAACGGGCAAAGTGCGGCTAATCAGAGCCGCACCAAAATAGAGACGCCGCGGCGGGATCCCATGGATCCCCTGAGCCGCGGCGCCGTTGCTCCCTGGCACGATCAGATGCCGGGGAGGAAGCCACGGTCAGGAGGGGGAGGCTGCCGAACTGCGCATGT